TTCCATCTGGTCATGTTGAAATAGAAGTCAAGGCCGTTAGTCTCAACGCCAAAGACATCTACACGCTGTCTGGCAAGATCGAAACCCGCAAGGGCACGGCTGCCATTGAGTTCAGTGGAATCGTCCGTGGCGTTGCTTCAGACGTCTCCAATCTCGTTGCTGGTGATCGTGTTGTTGTCCTGGCGCCAAATAGCTTCAGCACTATCGAGCGGGTCCCGGCCTGGGCTTGTCTCAAAATGCTGCCTCACGAGAGCTTTGAAGTGATGCCCACCCTGCCTGTTATTTATGGAACTGCTCTATATGCCCTGGATGATCGCGCTCACCTGCGCTCCGGCGAAACTATTCTCGTGCATTCCGGTGCCGGTGCCTTTGGAACCGCCACTATTGCGGTCGCTCTTCAACGCGGAGCGACCGTGTATACCACCGTCAGCACAGATGAAAAGAAGGATTATCTGGTCAACGAACTTGGAGTTCCTCGTGAGAATATCTTCAACTCCCGGAATGATTCGTTTGTTGCCGGTATTTTGGCCGCCACCAACGGTCGGGGTGTTGATGTCGTCGTTAATTCCCTGACAGGCGATCTGCTGCATGCTACTTGGCAATGTTGTGCCAACTTTGGCCGCTTTGTGGAGGTTGGCAAGCGCGACATTATCGATGCCGGACAGTTGGATATGCGCATGTTCTTGCGTAACGTGACCTTCACTGCCTTTGATCTGACGGAGCTCTTCTACCACGAAGATGAACACTACCGCAACATTTGGATCACGTAAGACATCCTCTCTCCATTCTGTTTTTACAACAAACTAATATTCTTTTAGTAAATTTGCCGAGGCTTTGGAGCTGTACCGAGCTGGCTCTGTCAAGCCAGTTCCCATTTCCACCTTCGATGTTAGTGATATCGCTCAAGCATACCGCTTCTTCTCTACCAAGGGCCGTATTGGTAAGGTCGTGATCTCGTTGGAGAACCCATCCAGTCTCATCCAAGTTGCCCATGCGCGCCATCTCACCACCTTTGACCCAAACAAGTCTTACCTCCTCATTGGTTGTCTTGGTGGTCTAGGTCGCAGTCTCAGCCGCTGGATGTTCGATCGCGGCGCTCGTCATTTCACTTTCCTCGGTCGCTCTGGGTGTGACAAGCCTGCAGCCCGTGAGCTGGTGTCTAACCTTGAGGCCTCTGGTGCTGTTGTCAAAGTTGTGCGCGGAGACATCGTCAATGCCTCCGATGCCGATGCCGCCGTCGCCGCTTGCATCAAGCCCATCGGCGGTGTGATTCAAGCCGCAATGGGTCTCAGTGAGGCCCTCTTCTCCACCATGACCCACAAGGCTTGGCATACGGGCATCCAGCCCAAGTGGCAAGGAACCTGGAACCTACACCATGCTTTAGAAGCTCACGGTGACAGCGAACTAGACTTCTTCCTCCTGACCTCTTCGGTTTCGGGCAGTGTTGGCACAGCCACCGAATCCAACTACTGCTCTGCCAACGGCTTCCTTGACGCTTTCGCAAGATACCGTCGCAGCGTCGGAAAGCCCATCGTCTCCATCGGTCTCGGAATGATCTCGGAGGTGGGTTATCTTCATGAAAACCCAGAAATTGAGGCGCTTCTCCTCCGGAAGGGTATCCAGCCTCTCAACGAAGCTGAGCTGATCCAGGTCGTCGACCTCGCACTCGCCCACACTTCGGCTGATGGACCAAAGTCACTGGCCCCAGGTCTCGAATATGACCGTCTTTCTGCCTCGCACATCCTCACGGGACTGGAGCCGCAGGCCATCCGCAAACTGCTCGATCAAGGATTCGACGTCAGCAACGGCACAATGCAAGATCCCAGAGCCGTTCTTCTATCTGCGTCGCTCGATTCACCGGCTTCTCTGGATTCCGCTGTGTCGTCCTCCGCTACCTCCGTATCTGCCCTCCCCTGGGCTGCTGGAATCCCCGCCACTGTCCTCAAGACCATGGTCTCAACTAACAGTGAAATTGCATCCGCGTCCACCCTCAACGAAGCCATTCTTCTTCTTGTCAGGAAGCGCTTCTCAAACCTGCTGCTCATGGGATTGGATAAGATTGACTCGAGCAAGCCAATCACCTCTTACGGAATGGACAGTATGATTGCGTCGGAGTTCCGGTCGTGGTTCTACACCGTTTTCAAAGTTGATATTCCTTTCTTGGATGTTTTGAATCAGACCTCGTCGCTGCAGAGCCTATCTGATGCTGTGGAGAGCAAATTGACTCTATAATTTGTTTGTTTTCGTCTTTTCTGCTATTAGAGTTACATAAAGCCTCAATCATAAACCTTGTCCTTGTCCTTGTCATATGGGTCTTTTTTAACCTTTAAATCTGCCATGTAGTATCACAATTTATGAATAAAAGCCTCTGACTAGGATGAATACAAACTAAGGTCACCTCTGCCATCCACTATTTACAGGACTTAGCAAAGAATGAAGTTCTCACTTCTTTTTACGTCATTTCCTATATTAAACCCAGAACACATTGTCATGTACAAGGCTTTCCCCCGCCAGGTGTAAGTACTTACATGGTTTCTCCTCAGATAGTTCCTCTTCTTCATCTATCTTACTACTTTGTCATATCCCGCATTTCCATCAAGTATCTCAATTTAAGGGGGAGAGCCTCGACGATTACAAAAATTGCATTCATAATCGAAATTAGGCGCAGAGATCTAGTAAAATTGAAGCAGCGCCTCGAGATTTATTCAACTGCCATCTTCTGGTCTCTTTTGCGTTTCAAATGATCTCACTCAGCCAATGAACGGTGGTCTGATTTCTGACCATCAGCCTGTCATACCTAGTATATGCAAGTTAGGTCAGAAAATGACTGATAAAACACCCAGCATTTCTCGAAACTATACGAATTGAGCATTCATTCAATCAACCAACATGCATTTATACCTTCTCAGTGTCGTCGCGCTCGCAACCTACATCCTCTACCGGGGCATCTACAACCGCTACTTCCATCCCCTACGCGGATTCCCTGGTCCCTTCTGGGCCTCCATCTCCGACTTCTTCAAACTATGGATCCTACACACCAAACAAGCACACACGTTAGGCATTGAGTATCATGAAAAATACGGATCTATCGTGCGGGCCGCACCGAATCTATTGGCCGTGGATGATCCTATGTTTTTGCCCCAGATTTACCATCGCCGAGTAGATAAAACTGATGTGTATACAGTTGGGGTTCTGGGAGAAATCGCGCCACCTTTCCAGACACTTAAGCATGATGAGCATGCTATGAAGCGCAAGAGAGTGGCTGCTTCGTTTACGTTGACGAATTTGAAATCACTCGAGGGTCAGGTTGATGAGCGCATTTTCCAATGGACGAATGTGTTGACTGAGAGGTTTGCTCACACTGGCCGTGAAATGGATTTTGCTGCTTGGTCGCAGTGAGTGGACTCCGTGATATGGGATATGAATAGTGAACAAGAAGCTGATTCTGATAGATGGTTTGCCTACGACATGATCTGCCAGCTTTCCTTTGGTGAACCGATTGGATTCATCACTCAAGGCCGTGATGTGGAGAACTTGATTGAGAACTTCCATAAAATGGCCCCTTTTGCTGCAATTGTTGGGGCTTTGCCATGGCTAGCTCGACCATTTCTGGAGAATCCCATCACGAGGCGGTATTTCATGCCCAAGCCCGGAGATGGGTCAGGAACAGGAAAGATCATGGCGGTATGTATACATCTTTTCAGTACCTGGTCATTCAGTGAAAGGCAGAATAACGCTAATAATTGAATAGTTTCGCGATCGGCTCCTTGAAGAGCGACTGAAAAATCCCAAACAACGACAGCAGGGTGACTTCCTAGACAATATCCTAAACGCAAAGAATCCCGATGGGTCCACAATTACGCTGGACGAAGTCAAAACCGAATGTTTTGTGTTAATGGTGGCGGCATCTGATACAACAGCCGCATTCTTCTGCGGATTTCTACGATACGTGCTCCAAACTCCAGGCGTTCATGAGAAGTTGGTGGCCGAGATTGACGATTATGATCGGCGAGGACTTCTCAGCCATCCGGTTCCGCTCTACGATGAGATCAAAGATATGCCCTACTTCTCAGCCTGTTACAAAGAGACAATGCGCTATCAGCCCTCCACCCCGATGATCATTCCCCGCTACGTCTCTGAAGGAGGCATGACACTTCACAACCAATTTATCCCAGCTGGAACAGAGATTGGTGCCAATCCGTACGTTGTTCATCGGAATCGACGGATCTTTGGCGAGGATGCTCATGAATTCCGCCCCGAGCGCTGGTTGGAGGATCCAGATCGGGCTGCCTTGATGGATAAGTGTATTCTCACGTGGGGATATGGCACTCGCATCTGCTTAGGCAAGAATATTGCACTTTTGGAGACGTATAAGCTCTTGGTTCAGGTATGTTTCTTTTTCTTGAAGATCACTATTCAATCTCGCTGACTAGCTGGTAGTTCTTCCGTCTATTCCGCCCCAAGATTAACAATGGAACAAGGCCAATTTGGAAACAGGAGAATTTAGCTTTGTTGGTGCATCATGATTTCTGGATCAAGATTGCTAGCAGAGATCATTTGTCCTAGGTCTACAATGATAGTGTGCATGCCTAGATGATTCTATAGCTCGAACGAAATGTTATACAGTTATTACAAGAAAGAATAGCATAGGCAGCTTGCTGTCCTAGCCACTCCAGTTTGCGAAAGACCTCGATTTATATATAAAAACACCATTACTTAGGGATTGTGACAATTGCGGGTGACACTCATTGCCTAATTTGGCAACTTATTTATGTCTTCCGGACCTCATCCGTTACTCTGCATGGATAATAGATTTGAACCTTGGAAGCACTCTTTTACTTTGATATACCGATTAGTTTTGTAGTCGCTCTACGAACTTCTACTTGTTCCTATCCTGGTAACGCTAATGGCAGGACCACGCTAAACTCAAATAGGCACGCTAAATCGTATCCTATAAATTCACATCACTGGAGCCTACGGGGGAGACACGTTGTACGAAAATGTCGCTCCCCACAAAGTTCATGAGACTTGCAAGTTAGTCAAATCTACTTCTTGAGCTATATCCGTAGTGCTAACCGGAACGCAGGTCCCAATGAATGCCGTACAATTAGTCGCGAAGATGTCGGCTTCTACAACGCGCTCGTCATAGGAGCAATCTATGAAATTGCGAGTGAAAATATAGATGTTCACTCCGCTCAGTCATTTATTGCACCTTTGAGACACTGCATCGAGAACTTCCCATACCTAAGCGTGGTCATCAAGGCGAAGGAGACGGACAAGCCAACATACGAAGCGGTTTCTAGTATTGATCTGCACGATCACTTGTCTATAATTCACGAAGACGAAGCCAGAACTAATGGCGATACGGCAACAATTCAAAAGATCTTACCAGCCATCCTTGACCGCCCATGGCCTGCTGATATCCCACCTTGGCGAATCGTGGTCCTCCCTTTGGTATCGCCGCAAGACACAGTGACGCGATGCTTTATCGCCTTTGCCTTCTCCCATGCTCTCGGGGACGGCATGGTCGGGGTTGCATTCCATCGTACCTTTCTCGATGTATGGCGCCAGACTACTGGCAAGGAGGAGAAAGCCTCTTTCTTAGTGACTCCGCCAAGTCAAACGCTTCCGGCACCCTTTGACACACCCGAAAGGCTTCCTATATCTTGGAAATTTCTTCTCGAGCCATTGATTGCAGTTTTCTTGCCGAAGTTTGTGGCCAACTTTCTTGGGCTCCGCGCATCTGCCAGCACGCTAGATGCCGGTACTTGGATTGGGTCACCCATGTTCTTCGATCCGGCAGCCGCTCTCCAGAGCAGAGTAAGACTCCTCGAGATTGAGGCTCCGCTAGTCCAAAAGGCCCTACAGTCTTCAAGAAGTCATGACACCAAGCTCACGGCAACGATGCACCAGATGATCGTCCGGGCGCTAAGCAGGGCCATTCCTAGCCCTGACGTAACCAATTTTGTCTCGGGGACGCCGGTTGACATGCGAGCGTCTATTGGGACGCCTGGTCTCACATGGGGTCTTTTCGTGTCTGCCTATTACGAGGCACATCCACGGGCACCGAATGTGACGGAGCCTCATTTTTCCGAGGAGATGTGGGCAGCCGCGAGCTCGATGACGAAAAATCTCGCTGCGTGCGGTGCGAGACTGCAAGATCAAGCAATCGGCCTATTGAGATACGTTCCCAGCATCAGACATTGGACATTGAGTAAACTTGGACAGCAGCGGGACTCCTCGTACGAGCTGAGCAATTTGCTTGCCTTCGATAACTCGAGTGACGGGTCAGTCCAAAAGTGCAAGGTCGTCAAGATGGTGTTCTCGCAGCCTGGAAATGTTACTAGTGCCCCGCTTGTTTTCAACATCATCAGTGTCAAAGGGGGTAGCTTGATGTGCACGGTGAGTTGGCAAGCTGGAGCCTTAGGTGTGCCAGTAGAGGAGGAAATGTCACTGGTTGACCATATATGTTCGTCAATCCAAGCGGACTTTGAAGCTTTGAGGGATTGATGTGACACCCGACATACTCATGTTTTGTTGGCGGTTTGTTGGCCTACTGTACGCTTATGTTTATACTTGTTATATTTGTACTTATACTCACTTTCCATCTTGGGGTAGATGTGTTCTAGAGGGACCATCCCGAGGCTGGAGTGGTTGCGAATAATAGAGATGTTCACTAGATTCGAAAACAGCACTTAAGCAGGAGGAAGCCGCGGTAAAATCTTAAAGTAAACATGTCCACCTCTCCGCTTGACCTTATTATTCGGGACGTAAGCCATCCATCCACCGACATAGAGAAGGTATGGAAGGCAAAAAATATGCAAAAACTAATGGGACGAGCCGGGATCGAACCAGCGACCTTGCGAACTTCAATCGCACGCTCTCCCAACTGAGCTATCGTCCCATTTGGGATGATGATCGAGGCATAGTTATGCATCATGAACAGACTATAGCTGCCTAGGTAGCCCGTTTTTGTCTCCGCCTTCTTAACTCGTACTCCGTAGTCCTACGTTTGGATGATTCCTATCATAATGGTTATTTTCCGCGGGTTTTTAGGATTTGTCTATGTAAAGATTTATCAGTTCATATAGATCAGCTTAAAATAACAGGTACATAATTATGTATTTGTGATCTCACAACCTGAGATATAATATCCGTATTCTACCTAGGCAGCTATATTCTGTTCATGATGCATAACTATGCCTCGATCATCATCCCAAATGGGACGATAGCTCAGTTGGGAGAGCGTGCGATTGAAGTTCGCAAGGTCGCTGGTTCGATCCCGGCTCGTCCCATTAGTTTTTTTTTTTCCTCATCCCTTTCCTTCCACCAAGTACAGACCCATAGTTGCCATGAGTCGGCCATTCCTTCGTTGTTGCCAATCGCAAAATCAGCATTTAATTAGAGAATTTCGATATTTTGCCTAGGAATCGTATCTGTAAATGTATCGGCGCTTGCGGAAAAGTTTAGTTGCTCCGCGTTCCAAACATTTATATATCCCACGATTCTACTTAGCAGAGTGTCGACAAACCTCCTCATCCTTGGACCCAAGAGGGCATTCCATGACACCTTTCCTCGAGTATCCTGGTAGCACGTTGAGGGAGATACAACTAGTCAGCTTTGCCTATATCTACTCAGTCATGATAGAAAATGGAACTATTAACTATGCAACTAATAGCAAATTTTGTATTAACAAAAACGAATTCCATTCTTCATCATTCAATCTCGCAAACAAAGATGCACCACTAGCCTAGTTGTACGGCTCAGGAGAAAAAACCTTCTTGAGACGGAAGCGTGACAAGTCCCGAATGACCTGCGCCGTCTGTTTCAAGTTCCGCTTAACAATAACAGCAGTAGGAAGCGAGAAAATCTCCTCTATCTCCTCAAGGGTTTTGTTCTTAGTCTCCGGCATGAAGATAATCTGATAAGCCCAGCCGAGGATGGCAATACCACCGTAAAACCCAAGCGTCAGACCAATCCGCTGCATAGACTCCATCATGCGCGTGAAATTGTACGTAACGATAAACGAGCACAGGAACAAGTTAGCGTCGGCCGTCGTCATTCCATATGAACGCAGGTACGTAGGGAAGACCTCGGAAGGCACGACCCACGTCAAACAAGCGTACGAGCCGAAGAAACCCATGTACAGCACAATACCCGTGAAGTAAATGCCCTGTGCCGCGGCGGGGTACTTATCAGCATCGATAGTGTAGCCAACACCGACGAGCAGAAGACCAATGAAGAAACCCGGCAGCATCACATTTGCCCAGTACCGACGACCAAATCGCTCCATGTATAGCACGGCCGGGATGGTGCCGACCAGCAATGCCCCACCGCCGACAAGGGACATGAAGACGGCGTCCTTGTCGCCGAAGCCGATGGCCTGCATCAGCGTCGACATGTAGTACATCACTGCGTTGACGCCTGTGAACTGTCCGAGGAAGATCATGATATTGGCGTAGACCATGGCGCGGCGTGCGCGAGGTACAGTAAAGAAGTCCATCCAGGGGTAGTTCTTCGACTGGGCTTGCTCTTCGCTTTCAGCTGTGACGGCTTGTCGCATGCCGAGGAACTCGTCTTTGGCTTCGAGGTCGTTGAATCCACGGATCTTCTTCCATACTGCGTACGCTTCGACCTCGCGTCCCTTGTGCATTAGGAATCGGGGACTCTCTGGCAGGAAGAGCATACCCACGAAGAGGATTGTTGAGAAGACCAGCGAGGAGCCTAGGATGTAACGCCAGTTTCCTTCGACGCTAACGAACATTGCAGCGACGGCGTAGCCGAGGACTTCACCCAGGGCGATGTTTAGCTGGTACAGGGATACGAGGTTACCGCGGAGTCTGCGGGGAACTATTAAACAGTGGGGTTAGAATTGGGTATAGAGGTAGGATGGAGTGTGATGAAATACATACCACACTCTGCGACATAGACTGGGACGGTACCACCCTCCAAACCGACACCAGCGCCAAGAATGAATCGGCCAGCGAACACCATTCCGAAGTTTATAGCGCCAGCTTCCAGGGCGGCACCGATTGTGTACAGAATACAGGAGACAATGATAGCCATACGACGACCGAGGTACTCGTTTGCTGGAGAAAGGAGAAGAGCACCGGCAACGGCTCCGAGTGGCATGCCCGCGTTGACTAGACTGTTATCTGCTGCAGACAGGCCTAGATCAACGGGGAGGTAGAGGTTTGCGCCACTGATAAGCGACTGGTCAAGACCAGACAACATACCTCCCATGGACGCGAAGGCGACGAGGACGTAGGTAAAGGCAGCAGGATTGGACATGGTTATATCGAAGCGGGATCTGGGGATAATGTGCACCTGCTCTTCCAGCTGCTGCAGTTCCGCGTCCATGGCGGCTTCGCTTAGCCCGTTTTGGAGCTTTTGGTCCGCCACATCGTCCATCTCAAAGGCGGCGGCGTCCTTGTCTTCGCTGTGCGTGTTCTGAGGTGTCTCGACATCTTTGAGGTCGGCCATAATGAAGGAGACTTTCTCAGGATATGAGTTGGGGGTCTACTAAAGGATATATGTATAATAGTGGAGTGGAACTGTCACTTCAGGCTCTGCCGGAGCAGGGACCAGAACTAATAGGGAATGGAGAGAAGTATGGAACAAGCAATGACACTAGCCATTAGAAGAGGAGAAAGGACTATTTGAGGCCGTGCAGATGATGGCCATAGCGACGGTTGATATGACGCACGACAAAGGCTCCGTGTGGGGGTCGGGCAAAAAGCAAAGTCAAAAAACCGCTCAGGGACGCGTTATGTTGTAGAAATTGGCCAAGGCCTATAGGCTCGGCCTGGAGTATACACTCGGTACTTTCCCATGTGAGAGAAGTGGAGATCCAGGACCAGTCCGGGGATGTTGAGGAGAAGGGGAAGAACGAAAATGCGGTCTCATCGGAAGGTAAAAACAGGACTAAACCTGGAATACGCAGTGTACTGAGTCTGCGGGTGTACTGCAGGTGTACAACAGGGATTGGAATGACGGGGAGTCAAGCCATCGGGACTGTGGACGAATCGTGTGCCATCAAAGCTTATGTCGACTATTCCAAGCCACACAACCACCAATACTCGGAATTAGTCCTCAGACACTTTCAAACGTGGTCTGGCACTTCTGGAATCTTCCCGGCTTCCCGTTTTGTTGGCATATATCACGGTATAGACGTATAATTGGACGGAGGGAGTCCTGCGGAAGAAGACAATTCCGACACCAGAAGCCGAATGTATTATCTAGCGGCAAACGAAAAAGAATTTCATATGACAAAAGCCACATCTCGGAGATAATCCAGGGACTAGAAAGACTTTATGTTGCATGACTCGGTATTCAACTGGCCTGGGGTCCCCGTGGAGAGGACTGCCATCGGCGACATTTCGGGGAAACTGGGGGTATCTCATGATTTCTTTAGTCAAGTTGATACCTGGGCTTGGGCCCATCAACCGTTCGAAGAGAGGAAGGAAACCACCTTCCGAATTGCGTTATGTTTCCTTGCCGGAGCAACACGGCCCCTCCAAACACGGGATGACGACGTCGGGGTAAAATGCGGGATTTTCCCCATCGCAGGCCGAGATTGCGATTCATTGGCTGTGGTTTAGTATTGGTGGCTGCTGCTAAGCAATTCTGGGTTGATTGCATATCTTAGCTCGTTAGGTGACGGTGGGGTGATCTCTGCCCGTCTGAAGAACTCAGCCTAATATGCCCCCGAAGCGTGGGGGAAAGTCAAACTAGCGCGAATTCTCAAAACATACGAATGTATCCGGTAAAGATCTACTCCGTTGGAATCATCTGACTATCGTTGAATGAGATTTGTTCTTGAGATATGTACTCGGTAAACATTGGAAAATAACTCCTCGACGCCATGCTCTCCACTATGCAATGTAAGCCTCAGCACTCTCACCGTTTCCCAGACGCTCCAACAGGCTTCCGAATACTCGGGTCAATATTGGGACTAGGAGACCTTCCTCCCTGTAATCTGGCCCGCAGTCGCTCCTGGGCTGAACCACCACCCGACCCAGCACGGTCGAGATTCGGACGATTCTGAACAGGCTGATGCGACCCAGCTCGTTGGCTAGGCAATGGCCGGGCTCCAGATGGACCCGATCCAGGCGAATCGTACTGGGAAAGTGTGATGGCCGGACCCGGCGGCGCGCTGTTGGCCGAGGAGAGCGGCGGTGCACCACGTCCGCGACGAAGACTAGCTGTCTGTGGGATTGATGCTTGTGATGTGGGAGAATCACCCCATAGGTCACCTAGACCGCCGCTCCGGCCGGAGTTGGGGTTGGCGGGGGACCCTTGATTGTAGCCGCCGGAGGGTAGCTGTGAAGTCGCAATCGCGCGCGAGGGTGCCGGAGCTGGGCCCTTGGGATCTTGTGGGAGCCATGGTGGGAATGGACGGCCCTTTTCGGTGTAGTAGGCTCGAAGGGCGTTGGAGATGTGGGAGCAGTCTTCGTTGTCGGGGTCGTCTCCCTCGTCGCCTAGAGTAATGGCACGGCGGAGGTTGGTGAGCCGCGAACCCAGGCCAGAGATGGCCGAAGACGTGGTCAAGGATGAGAGGTACGAGCTCATATTGCAGCAGCCGAGTGGTTTGGTTGAGTAATGCGCCGGCTGCAGAATGGCAGCTTCGATACGGGGTGGGGTTGGCGCGAAGCTGGAGCTTTACTTGTGGGGACCCAATGCAAGATATTCAGAGTCAAAGAGTTGAACAAGGTATAATGATGATTGGAATGATTACTAAGGGAGATATTAACAGAAGAACCGGCTCCTGGTGAGGTGAAGTTGTTTAAAGGAGAATGAAAGGCGACGATAGTGGAGGGCATTCATTGGCCCACATGATCACGTGTTTCACCTAAATAAAGCAACAGCCCGGTCTTGGCTCAATAAATTATATTGAAGATATCGGTAGGATTGAAAATAAAATAGACATTCGAAGATCTAGGATCGTGAGTTGTAGTGGATGCAGTATAGCAAGGGTATGATGCCCGATCACTAAGCACAGAATAAGAATATAAAACAAAAGAATTGACAGCCCAAACGCCATGCAAGATCAGGTAAACTTTTCCCAAATCCTCCAACATCGATGAAATCATGCCATGATCTGGTCCTTGCCAGCACCCTCGGTCTCGTATTCGATCTCGATGCGAGGACCCTTCTTGCGAGGCTTCGCCTGGGGAGCAACATGCTTCCGCTTGGCACTGGGCTTGGGCTTCTTCTCATCTGCGCTAGCCTCCTCGTCGTCCTCGCTGTCATCGTCGTCACTCTCATCATCATCGTAATCGCTGGAATCAGCTGAGTCGACTCCCAGCCAGTCCTCCATATCCTCGAGGTCCTCATCCTCATCGAGATCGCTGACGTACTCGACCTCACCAACACCCTCTTCCTCCTCCTCCTCGATCTCCTCGCCGTCATCCATATCCATATCACGCTCACCGTCACCAGCCCGCTCAAGACCACGGAGAACCTTCTTCCAGATACCCTCCTCAACATTGAGTGGCCGGTCACCGTAAGCGCCGCTGCGCAGACGCTCAATAAGCTCACGCTCAATGGCTCTCTCGACCTTAGCGGCAGACTCGGCCTTACGCTCGCGAGTCGCCTCACGACGGCGGACCTTTGGCGCCAGCTTGGGCACAACCTTTTCTCCGAGACGCTCATCTTCCTTGGCGATGTTCTTCATGCGGATGCTGACCTGCGTCAGGCGGGTGAGACGCTGCTTGCACTTGTGGGTCAAGAACTTGGGCCAGTAGATGAGGCGCTCGTCGACTTGCTCGAGGGCCTTAGCGTAGTTGGAAGATAGGCGCACACGCTCCCACCATTTGCTGGGCATGTGGGCTCGTTCGACAGTCTTCATGTACAGGTACATGACGCCCGTTTCGGGATCGCTTCGCACCGTCGCATACCGCGAGTTGGCCAGTGGGCAGGACTGGCGATTGCACAGACCGCTGACGTTGTATTCATTGCGACAGAAGTTTTGGTCTTTCGTAGTTCTGGAGAGAAGGTTGGAATGGTTAATGGGAGGTTCTTGTTTTTCGATCCATGTATAACGGAGATAAAAGGCTCTGTGGACTGAATAGCCAGCAGCTCCGATTAATACTCACTTGAGTTTGTAGGAGCAGAATTGCTGGTTGATAACCTGCCAGACAATTTCGTCAGACATGACGGGCGAGGAATTAGCAACCGAAAAGTGGTTGGTCCTAGAATCTATGCAGCAGATGTTTGACCCCGAAGAAAAAAAAAAGATTCGATATGGATTGACCGCCTTCCTGACTAGGGCGATCACGTGCTTGCTTATCGATTCTGCGCAACGTCATTGGAGGGCCCGGGGGATCCGCCTGCTAATGGCATCCAACTACGGAGTACTATATGTAAGTACAACATCCATCTGCGATCTTGTTATATATATGGTTTCAAATGCCTTTTTTTTAATTGCTGGAGTGAATGCTACAATTATTTAAGTTCATGACGAAGATATATAGTATGAATGAGAATAATATATATCCTCCGGAAGAGTTGATGGAGACAATATTGACACTATGTGAACTTGTACTCTGTCCAGATGGTCAGAATTACAATAATGGAAGTGAAATGATTGAATAATCTAGTATGGAAGTACCTAGCCCAATGCCGATGCGCTCAACAAGAAAACGCTCAAGATTAATATACAGAGAGCCACATGATACTAGATCGGTGGTAGCTAGGGTATGGAAGAAGAGAGAGATAACAAAATCCAAGCGAGAGAAGGCTACGATACACCGAAATCATGACAAGCAACAACTCTATCCACGAACTTTTCGGTAACTTGGTGGGTGCCACGACTGTTTGATCATTTTGCCAGCCCAGACCGGAACCAGAGACACAGCCAGCACAGCGAAAACTCGCCACAGCCAGTCAAGGGTAATCACGTAACTAAGGTCGAAGTACTCGCCTAGGAAGGGGATACTGCCTGCGTATACAAGCAGCGTACCAATCAGACAAAAGATCATGACCGGGTGCCATGTTGTGATTGAAGTGGCGACCATGCCAAGCTCATTGAGGACGAGGGCCGTGAAGGAAAGACTAATAAGGCGCGGCCCTGTGATGGTATCCAACAATATCTGAGAGAGACCCTGGATCACTGCACCCTGGTAGACGGAAATGAGAACCCAGCCAAAGAACGAGCGGTAGCTTAGACTCTTCCCTGTCTTGAGCTCTTTATAAAGCTCTGGGTAGAGATTGGCGAGACGCTCGTCGACATCCCGATCAAAGGCGAGGGAGAAGACCGGTGCGTTGGTATAAACAGTGGCGTAGCCGACCATCAGCCAATTGATGAACAAGCCCTTGGGATCGAAGTGGCTGGCAATGCTGTACATAGTCTGGCAAACACTGATGATCAACCCACGGTGCATGATGAACTGCGCTAGTTTAGCAGACCGCTTGTACGAGTTGCGGCCGTGCCAGACGAGAAGCTTGGTAATATGGTGGAACTGCGTGATACTAAAATCAGCAGCCAGAGATGCTTGGCGGCCTTCCTTGCCCACGATACCAATTCCGACATCGGCTGCTTGAATCATCGAGACATCGTTACCGCCATCTCCGATACAACAAACACGTTTCTTTGTGTGTTGGCGAATCAGGTCTGCAATCTCAGCTTTCTGGGTAGGGGAGCATCGGCATGCGATCACAGCGGGAAGTAGCACCGCGACAGAGATGAAAGCTGTTTTGAATTGACCAAGCATGAGGTTCAAGGACTCGCCATCGATGAGCAGGCAGCAGTCAGTCTTGTTGCGCAAGAAGTCAAGAGCTTCTTGGGCAGTCGACTTGTCTGTGACTTTGGTGACTGTGTGAATGTACTGGCCCCGGGATACCAATTTGGCAGAAATAGCGACACAACGCGCTGTCTCCACCTTGTCACCCGTCAGCATCCAGATCTTAACACCGGCGTTGCGTAACAGCTCGAGAGAGGATTTGACGTCGCGTTGCAGCCGATCTTCCACACCGGTCACACCGGAAAGCTCCAAATCTTGTTCAAGGTATTCGCTCACAACCTTCGCCATGCCTGCATCTCGCCCTTGGAAAGACAGTGACGCTTGTTTGTATTTAGCAGAGAAATCTTGGTATTGCTGTGCGGAGATTCTTTTGCGCCCAACAACGAGAGTTCGCAACCCTTCCCGAGCCATGTTCGTAGTCTCCTCGTCAAGCCAGTCATTTGCTGCAACAATAGTTGTCATAACAGTGTCTGCACCCTTCTGATAGAACCAAATTTCACTATCATCTTTGCTGGATTCAAGTATGTCTTCATCGTGCTGGAATTGGACGATAATCCCCATTCGCTTGGAGTCGGATGTGAATGGGAAGATGTCGAGGATCCGAGCGCGGACCACAACCTGCTTGGACTCGGTGGATTCCAAGACGATACTTTGTCTGTCTCGATATGCTAGCTTTAATCCAACTTCTTCGGTATATCGAATAATGGCGATTTCATCAGGCGATGACGCTTGATAGCTCGTCACCTTCCGGCCGTCTTCCTCCTCTGTGGTCGGCGTAACGTTGTGACAGAGAGCAAGTGCTAATATGATATCCCGGACGCGGGAACCAATCTCTCTTCTTGTCCGCGGCGCTGTGGCATGTCCGGCCTGAGTACCAAAGACAGTTGAAGGGGTAATCAAGGCATTGCCCGAAAACGCAAAAGCCTGACGAATAAACGAGGCGACTTCGTCCATTGCCTCGTTGGCGTATGAGACAGTGCCAACGTGTATTTTTTTGAGCTCCATCTCATTTTGGGTCAATGTTCCCGTCTTATCCGAAAGAAGGTATTCGATCCTTCCCAGGTCTTCTGGAATTGTACTGGTGCGGACTACAGTTCCTGGAATGTCCTTGTCCCGTTCGATGAACCGCCCGTATACCGACTTGGCCATGTCCAGATTGACCCGAAGGCTCATGGGAATGATTGTGGAGAAGAGAATAAGATAGATCATGATAGCAACGTACCATTTCTTGTCGTTTGTTGGTTGGAATCTTTCCAACCCGACAAGGATGATTGAGAGAGTGAATGTGAGGGCGCAAAGAATTTTGGTGAGGTTGTTAATTTCGAGCTCTAACAGGCCAGTCTTGGAACGGGAAGCGGAAGTCGAAAGCGAAGCTCGGGTTTGAGATCCTGTATAGATGATGACGGCGTAAGTGGTGGTATTGGACGCAAGAACAGTGTTGGCCCAGGCGGTATTGTCGATTGTCAAGGGAGCTGATTGATTTTCCACAGGCGCAGGCGTTCCTTGATTGGTTGGAGGCCCAGATGATTTGTCAACGTGAGCATCGTAGAAACCAGTGGGCGGTCCCAAGCTAATAGTCCCCAAGAATTCGTTGACTCTTTTATCAGGAGCGCTAGCTGTGATTTGTAGTCGAGCTAAATCACCCAGAGGAAGCGATTGAGACAGCATGGAAGGCAGACGAAGCTTCCAGTCAGTTTCACCATCCAATTGATCAGTCCGGATGAAAGTATCAGCTGAGGGTGAATCTTCAACATCTTCACCATTCTTCAATGTGGTGTTGATTGTGGGTTCGGACGATCCCTGACCTGGTTCGAGCAAGTCGGAAGACGTCCCAGGGATAGGTTCTTCTGTTAACGAATGACGAGGAGTGCCTGAATCATTTGAAATGCTCTTCAGAATTACCACATCGGCAGGAAGGCGTTGGTTCTTGCGGACTTTGAGCACATCACCAACTTTCAGATCTCGCGACTTTTTTGTGACCTCCATCGCGTTGGACCTTCCTAATGCGACAGTGCAATATTCTTCCGCATTGGCTTCGGCATCTCGTCGCCGACGACCAATGTCATCAAGTGCCTCTTTACCCAATGATATTGAAACCACAAAGGCCAAAGGGGCAATGTAAGACGACATATAACCAATTCGCAGTACCGGGATGACCTGCGATAAAGCGACAAGGAGGAAGTAGATGTTGAAAAAGAAGGAGAATTCGTTGTAAAGGGTTCTCGGTAGGAAGCTCCAGGGTGTGTATTTTGCATTCGAGACCACATTAGCCGGATACTTAGCCGCCTGGTATTGTCCGACAAATACTTCACGGGGAGGTTGGTTCTCAGAGGGAATATCATTTGATCCAAATCGAATTGATGTGCCCTGTAGGAATGCAGGAATTTTGAATATTGGGAAGCGCAAGCGGCTGCCTTGCTTGGCAGGCTCATCGTCCAAATCGCGAGTCGAGCTTCTGCGATCTAGGAGAGGCGCGTCATCATCCTCCAGGTTCCGGGAGCTTGCATGTGAGTCCCGCAAGCCTTGTGTCTCCCCGTTCTCTAAAAGTGCATCGGTATCATCCTCCATGTCTGCTCGTCCGGACGCACTGCGTCTCCACCGACTTGCCGCTCCGACACGTAAGTTGCGCAGCGCAATACCCGGCCCGTAGCTTCTTTTGCGGCCAGTATAGTCCCGAGAATCCCGAGACTGTTGGGGGGATGTCGTGCTGGGGTCTAGCTCTTCTAGATCCAAGTCATCGTCCGAGTCCGAGAAGGCGTCCGGCGCATCGGGATGGTCTAGGGGGTGTTGGTAGTCGGATGAGGAAGGCATTCTCGGGAAGCTGATATGATTCAAGTCAAATGGATTGCTGGTTGCATCCAAGGTGGTGATTTTGGGCCTTGCATCAAAGGAAGGTTCATCTCAAGTATAAGTTATCATGTGCGGTGGTATTGGTCAAAACGCATATGCAGCATGATGATGAAAGAGTGGAGGGATGCTGCTAGGGTCACAATGAACCGTTTCTTTGTATAGAATGCAGCCAATGCCACTATCATAAAAAATTGTGAGATATATAAACCGAAGAACCACCGAATCCTTTTGAAGACCGGTCGATGACTGCCTTGTCGGGGCCACGCAATCACATGGGTGCATAATTCGCGGCGATAACTAGCTGACGTAATACTTCACTTTTAAGGTTAGGCATAAGAGAGCCGGGCTATCACTTACTCCGAGTCACGGGTTTGTATTTTTCCTATTCGGGACAGCATCCTGATGACTCAGCGCATTCATTTGGCCCCGGGGGAATCATAGGCGGAGATCGACCTTCGCTGTCGCAGACAATCCGACTGCTTGGTTTTTCCCTTCGCCATCAGCTGATGCGTTCATGGTCGATTTCTTTCTTTGAGTTTTTTTGCTCTGGTTTATATCTACATTGTTTAATGGATGCTTAAGTTGACGCCCTCGACCCCCATTTTCCTTACGATTGTTGATCTCCTGAGGCGTCATTGGAGACGTGTCAGGTTGGTCCCTGCGGACGCCCCCATCTACAGTCACGTTGGCAATCGAGAATAAGTTTGCACATATGGCGCACCAAGCGACCGAGAATGATTCGGAGTCATGGAATCCGGCATCACGGCCCGATAACAATAATTCCCCTGTTACGATCCAGAGTGGGTGGTCGGACCCGATTGCGGCGGACGGGCCAAAGGACAAGTCACTAGACGATGTTGTATCGCCACAGAGTGAGGATTTCTCTGCGTGGGATATATCCGATGAGGTAGATGGGATTCAGCCTCAATACACGAGCTTAGACGTGCTAGTGAACAATGAATCACCAGTGGTGGACCAGGATGTGTGCCTAGACACCGATTCCGTCGATAAGAGCAGTCAAGTCCCCGATGAGACGATCGCAGCGATTCATACAACTACGCCATCTATTGAAAATGCAGATACCGTGCTAAACCAGACACTGCCAGAAACTCAACCCACGCAACCAGTTCAGATTGAAGCACCTTCAGTCCATGGCGCGGAGACTAGTAATAGCTTTCCCACCACTATAAACGGGCTACCCTCTGTTCAAACCGAAAACTCAGATACTGTTGTGCCCACTGTCGCACCTGAACAAGAAACAGCGCCGGAGTCGACATTTGTGGGAGAGACTACACCTCCAAGAGAGGAAACAACGGCATCCGAGCCTACATTGGACACTTCTAAACATAAATATACCACTCAGTCCACTCCCACCGACGAACTGTTCCCGGGAACGGACGCAGACAATGCCGATTCTGAAAATCCCTGGGCCACCTTCGAGAAGGACCTGAGCAATACGCTGCCCTCCACCGAAGAGGCCACCCCTCATAATATCTCAGAGTTCGCCTCAACCTCTACTCAAATCCAGGATAGCGACGAGGCAAATTTTGTTGAAGAAGCTGTACGTCCATTGCCAGAGGAAACAGCATTCACAGGTGCGACACGTGATGAGGAGAGTATTGATGTCTTCAACTCAACTGAAAATGCCATCGCCCCGACCGAAAATGAGCAAATTGATCTCGTGTCTCACTCGATAAATGTTGAATCTGGGAATACCGAATCACCATCTCCTATCGCGGAGACCTTTGCGCCGACCAACGACGCCCATCTAGATCCGGCCGCAGCGGACGTGGATACAACCACACAGGATCAACCTTTCTGGGCAAACGAGTCGAGCGGTGAAGTGGAGTCCGATGAGGACGGCTTCTTTGACCAACTGAACAGCCAGACAAAGCCTATCTTTGCCCCGCCAGAAGCTGAATCCAGGTTTGAGGAAGGGGTTCCGTTGTTAGATGAGTCTACACCGGCTTCGCCTCAACACCCAACGGAACAGGAGATATCAATAGACAGTGTGTTTTCCAACGATGAAGACGATGTAGATGACTTCTTCATCTCGGCTCCAAAGACAGAGGCTAAGAACGCCGATGAGGATTTCTTCGCCTCCACCTCAAAGAAAGAGCCCGAGGAGCAACCCGTTGTTCATATTGCACGAAAGAGCACATCTCAGGTCTTGGAATCAGCCGGGTTTGCTCTCGATTCCCCGGTTAGTGACACTTCGGCCGCAGCGCAGTTTGATGATGCCCTGAAGGCTGCGTCGTTGGAGCCCCAAACAACGGCCGATCCATCGGAGGAGGAGCTAGCGGCACGGTGGGAAGCTGAACTCGGTGACTCACTGGACGATGATCTGGCGGCTCGTTGGGAGGCGGCATTGGACGATGACGACATACTGCTGGAGACTGAAGCCGCCCAGTCTGTCTCTGCACAGGAGCACGCTCATCAAACCCCTGTTCAGCCTGTCAACGACGGTTTGGTGGTTGGCTTGAACAGTCCGTTCCAGACCCCACAAGTCTTTTCTCAGCCAAGACCTGTTCCTAATATATACACACCCCACCAACCGTCCACTGGTGATCTTTTGCAGGGTATTCCTCTCCCAGGAACTGCGCCGCCAACCACGGGAGCGATGTCATCATACTTCTCGCAACAGCCGCAGAACCCTGTGGCAATCAGGGGAGAGAGCTTTGCTGAGCGGTCAAAAGAGGGTTATAAATCTCCTTACGACCTTCCAGATGATATCTCCCGACCCCGAAAGCCGGTCGTTACCCACAAACCTGTTCCTCCACCAGTAATTAGTATGCCACCGCCTCCTCTTCCATGTGCCTCTGGCATACCGATTCCTGCTGCAGCTGGCTTCCCCCTCCGGCAGCTCCCCCCTCAGCCCTGGCCGCTCCTCCTGCGCCGAAGAATTTCTACGAGGAACTCCCTCTGCCGCCACCAAGATCTAGGCCTGCCAGCTCAGGTCGGTACACCCCTAATCCGCAGACGGCGCCGACGATGACCGGGTCGTCTCTTCCTCCTCCCCAGGTTCAATATGCTTCTGTTGTACCACCAGCCCCACGGCCTATCGGGCTCCCAATCCAATCCACACTTCAGCCACCTGAACAGCTGGATCCATATGCTAGCCTGTCATCGAGTGCCCCGGTCGGACCTCCTACCGTTGCAAGGTATTCTCCTCAACCTCCTGGTTTTCAAGCACCCCCAAAGCCACCTTCGTTGCCGAGATATTCGCCTGCGCCCCCTCCTACCTCTTCTGTTCGCAATCGTTATGCCTCACAGCCACTTAACGTTCCTGGCCAAAACTTGCCTTTCCAGCCACGGACTTCAAGTCCTCTTGCACACCATGAAAAGGTTTCTTACCAGCCTGATCAATCACACAGGCCCCCATCGCTTGAGCCTGCGATCAACCTTTCTTCACCGAGCGAGCAAGGAGCTAGTTTCGGACAAATCCCACCTAGTGCTCCGCAATATTTCAGCGGTCCTGCCAACCTACCGCGGAGAGAAAGTGCGGGCTCACCTCTCCAGCCATCTCCGCCTCAAAGTCGCTATGCCCCTCAGGAATATCTCAATGAATTCGCTCAGCGTCTTGCGCCGGGTCCAGAACACGCTCCTCCTGCTCCTCCTGCTCCCCCGGCGAATGGATTGTCTCCACCACCTAGCGATTTCCAAATGGGTCCACTTCGCAGATCTCAGACCCAGTCACCTGCCCGGGACTTGACGAGCCCGCGATCCTACGGACAAGACATCGATCCCCTCCAACGGCCGGCTTCGGTGCAAGTTTCAAGCTTGCCAATTCAAACCGTGAATCCGTATGCTCCTGTGAAGCCTGCTCTTCAAACCCGTGCTCCGACGCATCATCTGGAATTTATCGCTCCCAATGATGGGCAGGAGCATGATCCCTTGGAACGATGGAAAGGTGCTCCGATCTTCAAATTCGGGTTCGGTGGATCTATGGTATCTTGTTTTCCCAAGCACGTCCCTCGCTATTCCATTGGACAAGTGGCGCCAACGATTCAACCCACTCTTGGTGAACCGAAAATCTCCCAGCTGAGCGAGTGGCTGCCCTCCGCTGATACCATTGTCCAGCACCCTGGGCCTCTCAAGGCAAAGTCAAAGAAGAAGGACTTGGTTGCTTGGCTTTCTAGCAAGATCGCAGCATTCGAAAATTCAGACCTTCCAAGCTACGAACAGGTTCAGTCTGATACGCACAAACGCCAGGAGGAGAAAACCCTTCTCTGGAAAGTTGTGAAGCTTCTGGTAGAGAATGACGGTAATCTGGAGAGTTCCCCTGAAATTCAAACCTCTCTCCGACAGATCATCTTCCCCAACCTACCCAACCCCGACGCAGACGGATCATACACAAGCAGCTTAGCCCCCTCGGGAGGGGTTGCCCCTTCGGAAACGCCTTTGCAGGCTGATGCTGTTGATGCACAGTGGTTGGAAGAGCTTCGACTACACTTAATATGTGGTGATCGGGAGAAGGCCGTGTGGAGCGCTGTCGATCGACGTCTTTGGGGACATGCGATGATCATCTCATCCACCATGGACAGGTCGATATCGAAACAGGTCGCGCAGGAGTTTGTCCGCCGCGAGGTCCGATCGAAATCCGCAAACACCGAGTCACTTGCAGCCCTCTACGAGATCTTCGCTGGCAATATTGAAGAAAGCATCGACGAACTCGTTGCCCCGTCTGCCCGGGCAGGTCTGCAACTTATTAGCATGGCCAATGGCCAGGGGTCTACCAAAAATGCCCTCGAGGGTTTAGACAAATGGAGGGATACCTTGGGACTGGTTTTGAGTAACCGAAGTCCTGGGGATCACCAAGCCCTTTTTTCCCTTGGGCACCTGCTTCGTTCTTATGGACGGATAGAGGCAGCTCACGTTTGTTACATCTTCTCGCGCGCTGCCGTTTTCGGTGGCCCGGATGATCCACAGGCCAACATCACTCTCCTTGGTGCTGACCATCAGCGTTGCCCTTCTTCCTTGATGGATGAAGATGCTATCTTGCTGACCGAGGCTTATGAGTATGCTATGTCTGTTCTCGGCAACTCTCCCACAGCTCATCTGCCACATCTGTTGGCATTTAAGATCCTGAATGCCAGGTGCCTCGTAGACCAGGGTCGCAATTTAGAGGCGCAAGGCTATTGCGACGCAGTGGCAGCGGCATTGAAAGCAACCACTCGTCCCTCGCCCTACTATCACCAACACCTCTTTGCGGAAGTTGAAGAGTTGTCTGCTCGTCTGCGCCAAACAACCAGCGACAGTGGCTCTTGGATCTCGAGGCCAAGCATGGAAAAGGTCTCGGGGTCTATGTGGGCTCGTTTTAATAGCTTCGTGGTAGGCGATGATAGCGATGCTGCATCGACTGGATCCGGCAAGGGTGGCGAGCATGCGGAGTTTGGTCCTTTTGCAAACGTGGCCGGCACCCCAACAATTAGCCGCTCACCTTCTGTATCTGAAATATACGGCTCTTATCCTGGAGCAGCGGCTGGAGCGCCGCTTATTCCTACCAGCGGCGCGTCCAAGTATCACCCATCAAGCCAATATGCGCCTGGTGCCTCACCTGAGCAGTTCAAGGGCCGATCGTCAATAGATTCTCAGAGATCTGCTTCCTACTTCCCACCCTATGGACAACGTCGAAGCTCACAGGAACTCTCGCCCTCGATTGATCAACAGATGTCCTATGGAGCTCCAGGGTATGGCTCGCCAAGCGCGGGTGGGTATCAACCAACACCACCTCAATCCTCTTATATTCCTCTTGCTCCAGTAGAAGAAGCTACGTCACCGGCTGAAGCTCATCCGGCTGCACAGCCCATGGTGAATGGTCTCTTTTACCATCCTCCTGGCCAGGCTGCCACATCCAGCGAATCCCCATATTACCAAGGCCCTCCTGGTATGCCAGCTAGTGTACCAGACTCAGAGTCACCCTACGCACCTCCCGCTGCCAGCTCATCTTACGAGCCGGTCTCTTACGAGCCAAATTCTTACGAGCCGGCTGCGGCTGGTGTAGACATGGGCTACGGTTCCCAGGAGGAGGACCTGCCACGGGCCGCGGAGCAGCCAAGGAAGCAGTCGATCATGGATGACGACGACGACGATCTTGCTGCCCGGGCAGCGGCTATCCAAAAAGCGGAGAATGATCGCAAGGCCAACGAAGCGTTCGCAAAAGCCGCCGAGGAAGATGGTATGTATTAGAAACGCCTATTGCTTATCTCACTTGCTAATCTGACTTGTGTTGCAGCTAAGAAGGGTCCCCAACAATCTGGCAAGAAGGGCTGGTTTGGTGGTTGGTTCGGCGGAGCTAAGAAAGAAGAAAACTCCGGTGGCGGTCCTATCAAAGCTAAACTTGGCGAAGAGAGCTCCTTTTACTACGACAAGGAACTGAAGAAATGGGTCAACAAGAAAGACCCCGGTAGTAGCGCGCCTGTGCATGCCACCCCGCCCCCTCCTCGAAGATCCGCTCCCCCCAGTCGGACTGCGAGCTCAAATAGTATGCCCCAAAACGGTGCGCCCCCGATGCCCCCGATGCCCCCAATGTCGGTCTCTGGTGGCCGGCCTCAACCTTCCTCTACCGCCGCACCGCCTTTCTTGTCCCCCAGCCCAGGCTTCCCTGGTCTCGCGCCTCGGTCCGTTTCGACGGGAGCGGCCATGCCAACACCGCCCGGTAGTTCCAGTGGCCCGCCGCCACGGCCTTCTTCGTCCTTGACTCATGCTAGCTCAATTGATGATTTGATCGGTGCGCCTCAGGCGCGCAAGGGCAGCGCAGTTCGCGCCAAGAAGAAGGGACGTTACGTTGACGTGATGGCTAAATAATCATCAGCCATTCAGAGAGAAAGGCTGATGATATAGTACTTTACTAGTCTCTCAACTAGCTGAGTGCTATAATGTCCTTTTCTTTTGTCTAATTATGTTCGTTTCATCGTTATGCCTTTTATTTGTTATCACATGATTACTTTGATGAACAACATCCCCCTACCCTTGAATAATACAACCTTCCCCTGTTACTAGATTTGTCATTGCCCCATCAACCTGCATGTGTCCTGTTTTTTTGCCTCGGCAGACACGACATCTCTCTGCATTCTCGCTCACTGAACGTTATCGGAAGCCTTGCTTTTGCACATAGCTTGCTCGTTGCTGTTCCCTGGTGCCACCTCATCCATGGAGTCAAGGGCTCGTACTCCTGGCATTATGTATATCATCCTCCTCCCCTTGCTGTTCTATTCTGGCCTGACATTTTGTTGCTTGCTGGAACTTTTGGGACCTGGGGGTTTCTTATTGCATGGTTTCTGACATGCATGTGTCTTAATAACGATTTCTAATAATTCATTCCGACTTTCGAACGCCTGAACCTTGCGAAGATGACATTGTAGCCCAAGTTTCACCACAGACAGTATCATGTGGTGAAGGAATTAATATAATACTGACGACTGTTAGAACGCTTGGTTGTTGGGTAATGCATCCTTGGAGTAATGTCAACTCACCGTTAAACAAGATTCTTCTCCCTGTCCATTACCTGGCAGATAAACGTATAAAACTAGTGCCATCTCATTGACGAAGCCTAACCACAACGAACGAGAAATCGAGTCAGCACTTGCACCAGCGAGTGGCAACTCATCAAAAAACCCACAGGCGACAACCTTGGGACTGAGTCTCCCAATACTAAGCACCCGACTCCAATCCTTTCCATCAATCCGCACCTTAGCCCAACCAGACTCGGATCCCTCACTCGCCTCCCGCCTCCGATTAAGCTCACTGGGAAGCTGGCTGATCTGCTCCTGGCTCATCTGCGCAGGATCCAACGGCGGGTTCACGAGTTCAGACCAGACACTCGCGATGCGCAGCTCGTCCGTAGCAATAGCCAACCGTAGCGAGCCATGCATATTAGCAGATAATTCAAGCTTGGGAGATGAGTTGGTGGACAGTGCCGTGGCAGCTGTATTGGCGCCCGGCCCGCCGAAAGAAACAGAGTGCATCCCCGGTGCATCGGGCGCCATCACACCCGGCTTTCGACCTTTGCTATCTGTGGATGCGAGTTTCGTGAAGCGATCGGAAATACTCTTCAACTGCGCTAGATTGGGTAGGATAATGTGCACTTCGGGGTCTGGACAGTGTGGCTCGTGCAGGCCTTCGACTGCTGCCTCGTTGAGGATCTTGATCGGGATTTCTTGCGTAATCCATGTCTGGCGCTCGCGTGGTCCTCGATCGCCCGTCGTATCGGCTGGAGCTGCTTCTGGATTTGGGTCATCGCCAAAGCCATCTGTGTCATTATTGGTGGCCAAGGCCATGTTTCCCTCTGTCCATTCTGATGCGAGGACTGTTAGTGCTAAGAGGGGAATTTTGTCCTTCTTAGTTAGGCGGAGCTGTGTATGTGTTGAACCCCAAGCGGAGCGCAGGGCTCGATTTAGGACGCTGATGTTGACTTCGATGTTGATGGCGTCGGAATTGGACTGTAGCTCGTAGGTCGTGTCATCGAAAATGGTTTCCTGGGAAATGGTTAATATATAGATCATATGACTGATAAAATTGATATCATTATGCATACGACCGGTATTGACGCCCACACTTGTGTGCCTTGGTCAGGTATGATGGTGAAGCGGATGACTTCGTGCTCCAGGCGCATCCAACATACCTTGCCTAGCGAGGACAGCGACGCGGTGAGCTCTGTTTGAGTTAGCTCTGATCTTTTATTTTAACAATTAGTCTTACTGGAGAAGGTCCTGCTGTCTCTTAATTGTGTTCGGAACCGCATTGTGCGAGTTGGGGATGGAGGGAGGTTCGACACCTCACTTACGTGCTTATCGCTATCGTCCTATGATTTCACGACAACTCTTCTCTCTCACGACTTTGGAACAGCTTGATGGCATTCACTTTTACAAATATTCCTCTGTGCCACACTCTTCTAGTTCACCCGGGTCAACAGCCAAACTTGCAACCAGAGCTGCTCCTATTCCAGACCCATACTCGGCCGGGTTCAGAGAAATCAGGTCCAATCTGTCTGGCTCCCAGTCGAAAATATCACGAAGACCCTGGCTTGCCCGTCCCTTCAACATACTATATTTATTGAACACCGCACCATCAACGCCAACGTGGCACTGACGGATTCCTTTCTTCTTGCAGATGGCCGCAATCCCACACGCGTATAGACGCGCTGAACGCGTCGCGACCAGGCCGACAAGCCAACGGCACGCCTTCAGCTCATCCAATGAGAGTTCTAAATTGAGGCACTTTCTGAACTCCTCTTTCATATCGGTCAGACTTTCCGACATGTCCTTCTCGACAGTTGACAGAAACGATGTCTCCAATGAGTTCGCAGTCTGAAGACGTGAGACATTTTGGCCCTTGAAGAGTATACCTTTGTCGTGCATTTTCAGCATTACCAGGCGCAGCATCTCTCCGATGTACAACCCAGCCACCATCTTCTCATAGATCTGCCTGCCTGGATGGGCAGACTCATCGTCGATTTGGCGGTCAAATGGAGTCAAGGGTAGCACCTTGCGCTCGTTATCAAAGGAGCCGTACTCGGTGTTGATGATTACAGTTGCATCTTCGGGTAGTCCTGAATCATGAAACTTGGGGATCAACCGGCATTCTTCCATGTACGCTGCATTGCAGCCAGTACTGAAAGTGCTGCCCATTTTTATCTGCGGATCCCGGTAAGATGATGCGATAAGGGTCCCCACTGTGTCGTTGACCAGGGCAACCACTTTCACTGGGACGTTCTACTTTGATCAGCTCCGACTTTCTTGGTATCCAACGTGGGCTTACCCTCTTTGCAAGTTCTTCTTCCAGCTGCGGTACTACATCGTGCCCTACCACTCCGGGAATATCAAAGTCTTTGGTCCAGCGCTGCAGAATACCACTGCGGATGGACTTTTGCTCCACTGGAAATGAGAATGTGAACGCCATCGATAGTGGGCTTGAAGCACTGGCAGCACTGGCAGCACGGGCAGCACTGGGAGCACTGGGAGCACTGCTAGCACTCTCAATTTCACAGCGACTTTCGTCGAGAAAAAGTTGGATTCGCTCCGCAATAAAACCCCACAGGGCTTCTTTCGTGGTCTTTTTGACTTCATCCGGAAGCTTGTATTTCCTCTGACGTTGCTCGAAGTCTCTCTTCCCCGTGGAAAAACAGATATCGCATATACGGATATTGGTTCCTCCCAGGTCAACGGTGAGAATGCGTCCCTTCTCCTGGCCCGTTGGGTATCTCATGATCCACGTGATATTCATAGGCTTCAGGTCAACGTTTCAGTTAGCATCTACTTGATATTCAAGGCCAACTGATACTGACAATAGACCCACCCTCCACGCTCAGACCTTTCTCCAGCTCCTGGGCAAAATGATCTGTGATCATCTTCAACTTGGGCGCATCGAGCATGAACCAATCTTCATATTGCTTGAGCTCTTTAGTGAACTCTTCGGGAAGATCTTTCACAAGTTCTGGGCGGTAGCGAAACCCTTGCATGATGATAGACTGGCTTGGTAGAAGATACTTTTGCTGCAACTCTGCAACTCTGAAGAGTTCTCGGGGATATTCCCCGGCCCTAGGCTAGGAGGTGCGCCATCAGTTCCGACAACGCCATCATTACCGCATAGTGATAGAGATCGATCGAATAGGTAATTTGTTTTGATTTTGCTGTTTCAAGGCCTTTCTACGGAGGCCATAGGAAATAATTGGGCAAATAATTAATATTCTTACTCCTTGCGTCTATAGTTGAAGCTATTTTCAAATAGCCTTGTTTTCCCCTTCCAGTAATATTTCTTTATATCGCTGCTTTCCTCACCGATTCCACAAGCCTCCGATCCGCCGATATGCTTCAATAGTCCAAGTTATATCGTAAATAAGAAAATGAACTGAAGAACTGTAGTATATCCCCATAGTAAAGGGCGGATCACCCGGCGATGGTTCGTGTCGGCAACTCCACTAGGACCTTAGGGCCCTTCCCCTGATCTAATCTCCACTTCAATAATAAATTCAACTTCAGAAAATCTTCCGATTATTGTTTGGATATCATTGTGATCAGAAAGCCGGTCTTTCTCTTCTTGTCGCTCATTTGTGCCCACTTCAGCACCCCTCCACTCTCCGCAGTCCCTCGCTTCTCGCATCCTCTCACCTTTGTACCTCGACCTCCCCCTCAACTTCCAATCGTTTTATCATTTTTCCTCATTTCTTTATTTCCTTTCCAATTTCGAGCTGCTAGCCAAGTTCTGCACTTTCTTAAGACGCGCGTCTCAGCATGCGGGCTCGACAGTCTTCTTTCCCGCCCTCGTTCCGACGTCCGTCACTTACATGCCATCCTCGAGCCAGTCGAGGCTCCCTGTGACTTTACATCTCAGATTTAGGCTGAGCATCTATTCGGCATGGCGGCCACTCGAATAAATCCGAATCGCCCTTTCATTCGCCTCTCTCCCTCCCACTCCCGAAACAACTCGCGCTCAACCTCCTCACTGGAGAGAATCCCCGGCTCCGTCTATCAGCAACTCGACCCTCTCCTCAGCAACCTTTCTCCCGAATCAACTCTCCAAGCCCTCACATCCATCGACGCAGTCCCTTCGAATGAACAAGGTGCTCATGATATTCTTTCACGAAGTATCTCCCAGGTGTCGCCGTCGGAACGCGCCCTAGGGATACGCGCGGCGGTAGCTGCCCAAAACCTGAACTTGTGGCACAAAGAGGTCCAATCATGGGATTGGCCAAATCAACGCGACGCAAAGGTCGGGATGGGTTTTATTCCTCCGTCTGAGTCGTACTCTGGGGAAAATTCTATCCCTTGGGGCTTTTTGGCTCCCCCTAGCAACACCCAGGAAAGCTACTACGGAAGCTTGTCAGCCAGCGTCGTCGAGCGATACGAGAGGAGGGCGGACGAAATCCGCGATGGAATGGAAGATCTTAACGTGGAAGAATTAAAGGAACACGTTTTGAATGCCCACATTCCCTCCAGGTCTCGGCCCTCGTCCGCCACAAGCTGTGTGTCCGTGCCTCCGCCGCTCAGCTATGTACAGCTGAGTGACTTTACAGCTGTCATCACAGCAACCATTTTGCGCGCTCTTCCATACCTGTCGCGACTGAACGCTTTACTAGCTACTTGGGACATTCGCATTTTTGTCTTACGCCAAATTCCTGGGCTGCTGAGGGAGCTCAGCTTGACCCGCTCCGCCCTTGACTCCTCCCTCCACGCCATCAGAGCCCCACATTCTTTTTTCCCCGACCCTACCGAATTATCCGATGCTACCCTAGCTGTTGATCATGTTAAACTTGAGTCCGCAGTTGTGGCTGTGGGGAGGCGGATGGACCGAGTTCTCGACGCGTTGGAAGGTCGTCCGGATTCTTTGCCCGAACAATGGATTGATGATTTGGAAGCCATTGAGTCTGACTTTGCTGCGTGGGTTGTCGAGGCCGATAATTACAAGGTTCGCAATGCGTGGCTGCGGTCAAAAGCCGAGTCTGAAATGGCTGAGAGGCGCGCAGCCGACCTACAGCGCGCAGAGTCGTTGAAGGAAACACAGCATGACCAAACTTTCGATACAGTTGTATCGGAACCTTCCGATGATCGCCGTTTCCCCCAGGAGCAGGCCGTCAAGCATGAGCCTGAAATCCAGTGTGGTGTTGGACTCTCATCCAGTGACGCAAAACCAACTAGCTCACAATCTGTTGAAAACATCACGGTGCCTATTGACGAGACGCCAACTCCTGCAGTCGAAGGGAATGTGTCGCAAAATCTTAAACTTTCAATATCTCTATCCAAGTCCCCAATCGAAGAGAAGCATGAGGAGATAGAAACACCAACACAATCCGACTTTCCACCAGCTCCTGCGATCAATCGACAGCCCTTTTTAGCTCCTGCATATACGCCTTGTGGAATTGATCGCAGCTTGGAAAACAAAGAAAACATTCCTCCGCCCGGCTTCCAACAGCTCGACGGAGCTATGTCACCTCCCAGTCAGGTATCGACAAGACCAAGTCCATTGTCTGAGCATACTGAAGATCCTTTCGTTCAACATTCCACTGTACCTGAAATGGAAGTCCAAATTTCTAAGGTTGTCTTCTCTGTTGGGGTTACCGCCGCGGAAGAGGCGAATGCCCCCGCTGGTCTCAAAGACCTGCCTCGTGATACTATGGCTGTTGAAAAAGAAAGGACCTCCGACGGGGAGGAAAAACAGCCTTCTCTACAACACAAAGCAACGGAACTCAATCCTAAGCCTAAAACCATCAGTTCTCCTGCTAGCCAGGATCCTAAATCTCCAAACGGGCCCCGTGAACAGAACCAGTGTGATACTCCGGTAGCAGCAACTATCTCCCCGGTTCTCACACCAAACAGGTCAGTAATCCGAGTGCCGAAATCGAGACCGCCTAGCAGGGTTTCCCAAATACCCATGGCGGTGGCATCACCCAAGTCAGGCTCGATTGAGTCTCACCACCCGCGGAATGAAGGGAAAGCAGAATCTTGTCAACGGAATGTTCGCAAGCCATTGCAGAGCCCCATTAGACTTTCCAAATCCCGCCAAGGGAAGCATGATCTCGACAAAGATGGTAAAGTGGCGCATAAAATCACGCGTCGTCGTCGGTCATCTACTGGATCTGTGGGTTCTTTGCTTTCAGACCATTCTTCTCTCATATCCAGTCCCGAGGCACATGGGCAGCACATTACTTCCTCTAATGTGACGCCCCTTGGGCCATCGTCTCGCCCTGAATCTACGCATCCTCCTTCGCATGGGGATCATACCTTGAGAGAGGATCGTCTGCGTCGTTTGGAAAACCAGAAGCTTGACCCGCGAATCTCCTTCCAACAAAGTCGCACGGTCAGTCTACCCCTCGAGCGGTTCATCAATGAACGCTTGGAGTTGGGCATGGGAAGCGAGTCGGCGCCAGGTGTGGCTAGTGTGAAATCGTCTAGGACTAGGACACACTCTGTTACATCTGCCGACTTCGCAAAATCCCCAAAGGTATGTGGCCCATTGTCCATTTGATAATATGCTCATTCTAATTGACTATCTTAGACACGAACTAAAATCACATTCCAAGATACTTCTGCTTCGTCCATTCCACCAGTTCCAAGTCTCCCGACTCACCATAAACTGTCACGAGGGAAGTCTGCAAGTGACTTGAACACTCAAAATGAAATGGCAAAAATTGCGGAACGAAACAGAAAGACATTCGGGATGAATTCCGCTCGAAGAGCCATGGAACATCTTCTTCAGCCCAAGTCTCTCCGATGGCGTCAGCGACTGACTACCCATCCGAGTCTCGAAAGTCTGGGTGTGAAGAGACAAGAGCTGTCATACGTAGAAGAGCATGAATCCGAACTCACCGATTTCGGATTCCGCCCTTCCTCGCCAACCAAGCACAGCAAACAACCGCGAGACCAGCTCGACGAAAAGATCAACTCGATTCTCAACTCGCTGCCGGGTAAAATCCATTTGGTCGATTCCAACCACGAAGTAGACGCATCCTCATCGGTCTCATCCGTGGACCGACGAATGCGGTACAGATCCGAATCTCCCACTGGTCCAACTCGCAGCACCACGCCCGCACCTTCTCTGACATTAATGCCCGCTGCCCGAAGACGGCACTCTCATGCCTACAAGACGGAGGACAGCTGTGTCAAACTCTACCACCTCCACCATGGGGGCCAGTCCGCACCGACAAAACTGTTCGTTCGCACCGTTGGCGAAGAGGGGCAGCGAGTGATGGTTCGTGTTGGCGGTGGATGGGCCGACCTGGGCGAATACCTTCGTGAATATGTCATTCATCACGGTCGCCGTAAGGTGTCTGAAACGCCTCGTGTAGAGGTGCAGGGTATTAAAACACGTTCCTCACCACCCCACGCTTCTCCGGGTACTAAGTTAACCCCGGCTACCTCATATCTTGCCTCTGGCCGGGCTACCCCCTCCCGACCATCCTCCGTGCTCAGCGCTCGGCCACCTTCATCCCTTACCGTTCACAAGAAACGACGAGGCTCAACCGCATCCGATGTGATGAACACTAGGGCAGTGTCAACTGGCCACATCTCCTCCTTCACTTCGCCTCAGCCCGCTGTCTCCCCTCTCCCTTCCTCGACCGGTAGACGTCTGTCGATGTCTTCCGGCTATTCAGTTGGGGACGCCCACTCCCCTAACGCCACCGCTACTGTTTCCATGGCCAACGAATCCCGCTCCACCCCGCTGGGCTTAGCTGGTCCCAGACCGCGTGCTCGGTACGAATCCATGAGCCCAGAGGGCGAAGCCTGGGTTGCAGATGTTCTCCAAAAGACCCGCCGCTCCAGCTCCCAGAACCCACCCCATTTTGCACTGAGCATGCCGCCCGACCACGATGCTGATGACCGATTTGAAATTGGCGATGGCAGCGTGGTTGAACACTCCTTGCCCAAAGTCCGCAGCATTGGCGATATCGGCTCAATGGGCACAAGTAGGCGGGTCGTGCTGAAGGGTCTGGGGTCTCGCAGGCCGTGAACTTCGACAGAGTGATCCTTCGCATATAAATTCTCTTCTTTTGATTCCCATATTTTTTCTCTCTTCTTATTCCCCCGCTTCACCCGTCATCGATGGGTCTACAGTTATTTTTCTTCACGTCCTGGCCCTGCGCTCTTGGACATATGGACATTTGGCAGTACATTTTAACGCCGTCCGTTATCTCGGGTTATATCTTCTCTTCTACTTGCATCAGCGTGGCGAATCTGTTTCTCACTTGGTTTTGTGTTTGGTTTGGGATTTGGTGTGGTTCAACAATACCCTACAGTTATCTGGTTGATAGAATTATCTTGGCATTTAATAGTTGGATACATATCACATTTTCTTCATATTCAAGACGCTACGCTACGTATTTCAGTAATTAAAGATCTTCCAAGGTCAATGCGCGATATCTCGACTTCCAGGAGCTACATAGTTCTGAGACAATGACAAGAGACACCCAAAAAGACAATAACCAATGGTGGGATCTGGACCCCCACTGGGTGACCGCACCTAATCAGTTCACTGTATGTAAAAATAAATTCGATGCACTTTATAGCAAGCAGTCCAGCGTCAGGACGTAATCTTTGCGAGTGGTGTTTTCAATCCATTGACAGTCATTGTTTGTTCCTGGAGTCTTGTTGAATTTCTTTTCTCTCTCAATCCGTGAAAGCGAATGCCGATATATATGCTCAGGCGTATTTGAGAGATCTGACCCCCTCTAACCCCTCTCAAAGAACAAATCCATTCCTTTCGGTTTCCGCTAATCAACTCCTCCATGGCTCATCTTCGGCTTCGTCCTCCTCACCGGGTAAAGTCAGTACCACTTCCTGAACGGGTTCCTGTCCGGCATTCATCATTCACGTTGTCTGGAGTCAGGTGCTTGCCGGCGGCGGCTATTGGATTTGGGCGACCATGCTGATGGTGGCCTTTGTTTTTGGTTGCAGGGAAAGTGAGGGTAGTATGCTTTTCGCAATGGTAACCCGAGCGTTCTTTCTGTGCATAATCGCATCGACTCAAAGGCTCGCAATCTGACGCTGTCTTCAATCCTCGTTTGCCAAGCCACGAGGCAGACTTCTCGTCGCTCGGACCGAGCAATGATGTATCCATTTGGGACCTCATTTTGTAGCACCCCAGTTCACTGACACTTTGTTGGATGGCGTTTTCGTTTTCTTCACCTCGCTGCTCGACGGAGGTCATTCTATGAGTCACAATTCTCTAGCTCGAGAGGCTGAAGACTAAATGCAGCGGTGGTTAGCAGATCTGAAGACAATAAAAGGATATACAGTGATGTAGATGCATGGGTAGAATGAAGGCGAAGACCTAAGAAAAGCTCACCAGTTCTTATTTGACTCGCTCCCTGAAATAGCGCTAGCAGAGCCAAGGCGGCGGCATTTCGAATGCAGTTGACCTTGAATGGCTGTTTTCATTCTTCGGTTTCTTCTTAGGCCGAAATTTAATCCAAAAACAATGGATATAAAAATATCAAATTCTTGGACGACTTCTGCATGCTTGCGAGACTCGCGAGTGCAATGGAGCGTTAGGAAATCCGAAATCTGCTGTATCAAGTTAGCTATGAAGGCCAATATGGTAACATCGAAGATGGGTTCGCACGGTGAGGACGATGGCCAGTGTAAGGAAACTCAGTATAGGCAGGAGGTTGGTGAAACCCTGCTCTATATGTTGCAGCAAATCGGTATCAAATATAGCAGTCAGATTATCTATAAATATAGGAGGTGGGGGCTGTGTAAGGGGGAGTGAGAGGAGAGGAAGAAGAAGAAGAGAGAAGGCAAGGCCGTAATATATAGCAAATGGGTCCAACTCTTTGTATAACATGTCTTAGAGCATGTCACGTGGATTCTAGCTTAGTCCTGTCGGGATAGGCCAAGTAGGTCAATGATAGACATTTGATATAAGAAAACTATTCTATACTGAAATGGACAGCAAAACTGAGACATCGAGCTCGTCGATAATCGCAGTAACCAACGATGTCCGTCAACACTGTTAGGTTTTCCTCATTGGGAAGCCTGATAGATATCTTTAGGTTGCCATTCACGTCTTGTTCACTAAGACGGAGTGCCTTTGGGAAAATGAAGAATTCAATGTATAATTCATTAAGTAAATTACTCTCATGAGCCTCCAACATCTCTGATATGAGGCAAAGAGTGCAAAGAAAGGCCTAACTAATAACTGCTGATGATTGACAAAAGAATGAGTTAGACTCCAAAAGACGTAACCCCCAGTCAGATGATCTTCATACAGCTAATTGTACAAATAAGTATCATTCTTGAATTCCCTCCTTCTTACACTCTACATCCTCCCACACCCCCCCTTCAAGGGGGGTGCTCCTCATCAAGAGTCCATCTATCAATCACCGAGATACTTCCCTGAACACAGCTCGAGTGCTGATCGCGCCAATCCATACCGAGACAGACTGGAGTGAATTGACAATGTGCAAGAGCAAGAAAGGGCTCGCAGTAGAAGTCGCCGCTTACTCGAACCTCTATTCTGACGAGGTGCCAACTGCGATCCAAATTCCATTCTTACATCAACCAGCAATGTATTCTGCCACATGAATCTTCATCCTGCTCTGATACGCAATCATGTGACATGTCGATTTCTCTTTAACTACTGTGTTACCACGTCTACGAATGTACCCGATCCCCCTTGACTGGGCCGGCGATGGAACGACTGCGAAACCCAGAAAAGCCAGCGAAGCGGCGACGACACTGCCAGAGCACGAAGAAGACGTAATCGACCCAACCACTGGCGAGATCGAGATCGTGTGGAGACCCCGTAACGTACGCCTGACCGACGACGCAGCCATTGCCTCGCTTTGCATTCACGAATCACGACATAGTTACCGCACCGAAAACCTCGCTTGGGACTTCGACTCTAAAGGAGAGATCCGTAAGACAAGAGTACCACACGGACCAACAATTACGATCTCGCAGAACGGTCTCCCAACACTCCCAGTATGTATGGAAAGGCTGGTACATCTTCACAGGCGGATGCAATACATCCGGCTGGCTACTACGCGACGGCCATAGGACAGGAGCGAAGTTCACTGGAGGTTTGGTTTTACCGCAGATGGTCCCGCAGCGGTCTTACGGGTTGTAATGAATTAGACCCTGGTCGTCGCTGGTCACTTCGGGCCAAGTAAACTTTCTTTTTCTTATTTATCGTTGATTTTCTGCCTTTCATAGTCCTTCTTCTCCTCCTGCTTTTCTTCTTTTCTTTTCTCTCATCTTATCATTTCCTTCTCAGTCATCAGTCCCCGACAGATTACTATCAGGCCCGTGATTGGGGCCAGATGCCGACGACGCTCGTAATACTGCGTACGTGAATCGCTCCCTCGATATCGCGCTGGCTTATAAACTGAGTGATCAGGACTGAGCTATAGATGTTCTCGAGCGGCATCGGGAGGTACGTCGTTGCATGAACGATGAATATAGGCATATGCGCGCCAGAATCATTGCTGGCGGCTGTTGACGTCTATATGAGCAACCTTGTCTTTTCTTGTTCCTCTCGTGTGAGTCTACCATCTACTCTATCTGCCACTTTATTTGCAGTACTGACGATAATATCTCGTGGAGGCTATCTCCCTCGCGCAATCCAGAACCGTTTGACCAGCTCTAAACACTTCTTTATTGACAACAATGTATTCTTTGGTATGCCGCGGTCCTTATTAGACAAGTCTATTACCTTACTAGATGTAGTTCTACGTGGAGTCTGCTTATTGTAGATATCTCTATCAGTGTAATTGGAGAATTCAAATGCGGGGTGTTCATTCCAAAATAAAAGTCCGTGAGCCATATCCTGCTCCGCAAAACCCGACAGTAAAGAAAAAATCAAGGAAAAATATACATGAGGCAATCGTAAATCGTCAATAGCCAAGACTTCGAGAACTGAAAGCATGACTTAGTCAAGAGTGTAACATCATATCAAGGGAGACATCCAATCCCAACTTCAACACGATGCCAATCATGAAGTTTGTTGGCGTTTCCAGGGAATGTCCTTGCGAAGTAATTCGCGTAGCTCTGGAGAAACCACCTTCGGCTTCTGGGAATCGATTGCCTTTTGAAGAGTAGAGGGGCCGGTGTTGACTCCGCTGCTTGATCCGACAGCGAGCTGGGGTGATTTTCCCTTGTTGCTCGAAGATGGATCTTGGTCGCTTGTCCCTGGACGACGTTGGTGAGCGGTGGGCGCAGTGGGGAAGTTGCCTCTCTTGTCGATGGCTTGCACGGAACGCTCGAAACGGTGGAAGAGCGACTCTGCGCGGGTGAGAATGGGTACGAGATCCATTGTGTTGGAGAGTTCGTTAACTGGAGATTGCAACATTAGTAATTTGAAATTAATATCACATTCAGATACCAACGTACTGTACTTCAGCACCTCATCAAAGTGCTTGAGATGGTCCATGATTACATCTCGGTGCTTCTCGAGTATGGCGAGCGCAATGAACAGGTGGAAACTGCTGGAGAGATAGTCGGTCCACAATGTCTCCCATAGACGCAGGACATCGCTCCAGTCAAACTCCCGTTTGTACCACACCAGGAGCATACGGAAGAAAAAGAAGAAGTTGGTACTATCGGCGGACTGCAGATGTAAGTAGAGCTGCGGGTCCATGAGCTGGACGAGGTGATCTAGCGCTAATAGCTGGCCACGCATTCCAGACTGGTCTCGGAGGAAATTGTGCTCCTGCAGAGATGTTAGTAAGATATTGCGGCGATTTGCAGCGTGAAAACATACCATTCGATCCATGAACCCGACAAACGCCCAGAAAGCTACGGCGTCATCTTGCATCACAGCATATATCGGGGCTAGGAGATCACTCATCCCTTGGACGTACCCAAGGTCTGGGTTGAATTCATTATACGTCAAGAGCATATCTTTCATCTGCTCCAGGTGCACGTTGGTACCTGTCTCGGCGAACGGAGAATCAGGATCCGGATGAGGGATATCTTCGCCCGCAAACAAAGGAATGGTACGGTCGGTACGGTGAACATCCTTTTCTATAGCCATTTGTTAGTAGCCACCATGTCGAATCCAGTGTGTAATCTCACCTATCCGAGTCTTCTGCTCTTTCCAATGATCAAACTGCTCGGCCGTTGAGTTGCCCTCGACCATTCGCTCCCACCAGCCTGCTTTCAGCCGTATGTACTCATCACGCTTGGAGTTCATCATTGCTTGGCGCTCCTCGTGGCTGCTATCCCACGAATAAACACCGAGAAGGAAGAGCCATGCCTCTTTTCTGACGCCATCATTGGGATCCAAGCCGCCATGGAAGATCCGCTCTTTAATTTCCTCCACTGTGACTTGGAGTCTACCCGAGGTCGGGTCGAAGAAGCCCTCCCATTCTTCCAGTTGGAGAACACGGCGTCGCTCCTGGATAGCCAGGTTCCCGGTCTCCAGCTCTAAGATCTCAAAGTCGCCAACCGAGCTGTTCTCCATTTCCAGCATATCCTGCGCGGTCCATATACGCTGGTTTCGGTCTTTGTCGCTCTGCTCGGCAACACTCATCGCCCAACGAGCCAGATAGACCCTGGCGCTGTCGAACTCATCTTGCAACGTCTGGATCTCTGGGTTTTTCAGAAGACGGCGCATCTGAGGCGGTATGAGAGGGTTATCGACTATATCATTGGCAGTCCGACGGGTAAACGTCGTGATTTTGCTGAGCTGCTCCAGCACTTTCCACCGTGTCTCCTTGAGAGTCTTCATGAATGGATCCATGCTGGCATCAGGCTGTTCGGCTCGGGATCCGGCGGAAGCCCCGGCTTCGGGCTGTGTCTTCCCTGGGATGGATTTGTCGCCATGGGTCACTAGCTGGCCGAAAGACAGCTGGTCCTCATCTGACGGGTTAACGAGGTAGACGTTCCTGTCCACCGAGGAGCGCTGCACCTCCGCATACTTCCGTAACCAGCGCAGTACCTCATCGCCGCCCCAAAACAAACCCCCTTCCTTGCCAAATGGATCGAAGGTTTCCTTGACCCTCTTCCTCTTTTGTAAGATGGTTGACTCGCATTCGTCATCATGGAAAAATAGCGCGGGGAAGCCATCGCCCGCTCGGGTATTGATCACTAAACTCCCAAACCACCATCCGATGCTCGGCGGTCGTACTAAAAGCGAGTATATCTGTGATAGCGGAACTGCAAAAGAATACAGTCCGATGGGGTCTTTGTAGGTGGTGGTGGTCGGAAGCGGCGGAACCAAGTACTTCTGGCGCGGCGGAGAGTCACCTTCCGAGAGGTCTACTTTCACGTATGTATCATAAGCTTCTCCAAGGGAGGACTCTGGGACCCATGCGAGGAGATAGGAGGGTGTATCGGGGTTTTTGAAATGAGTCGCGGATGCATGTGATGCGGGGAGAGGTTTTTGCTGGATGAGGGCGATAAAGCCAGGGATATTGTCTTTGGCAGAGGAAGTTGGATGAATATAGACCTGGATTCTTGTTAGATTGGTATTCCTCCTTGTTGGAAATTGTCATACTTTGCTTTTGGAAAAGAGCAGCTTGACCCCTCTATTCGAGGCAGCCTGGGCGATGGTGTTGTATTCATCTTCTTCGTCGTCACTCATGGCGTAGCAAGACGCTGGAGGTGAGGGCGTAGGAGGAGGAGTATATTTGATCGGGGCCATCATGGAAAGTTCAGGGCCCTGAAGGTGTTGAGTTCCAACCTTTCAAGTCGGCGGAAGTTGACGACGTAATTGCCCGATAAGAGATACGGATCGTCTGATCTCTCTTATAGTTAGTTAGGTGATGCTTCTTTCACTCTTCTCTTTCTTTTGGCTCTTTGAATCGTTGGGCTTTTGATGAAATATTTGATTTCTTGAATTGAGGAAGCTGAATACATCTCTCTCTTCTTCTATTTTGCTCTTTCGCCTTCGGTGGCCACTCTCGGATCCTCTAGGCAGCTAAATTCATTTTGAACCTCAACAGAGGGAAATATCAATCTCTCTCTATTTCTTGCAGTTTCCGTTACAATTGTATTTCATTCCTGGTCTTTTTGGGTGGTTATAGTATACTTCTTACCTCTGTATGTAGCTCTCACCATATTTCCTCTGTCTGATGGATCACGTGATGGCTAATACGTATTGTGATTGGCCGATCATGCTTTCTTTATGTACATTGACCTCCATTCGTATAGTTACTTCTCATCCTATTGGTTCTCTAATTTCTTGTGAGAAAAGTATAGGGTATATGTGTAGTATGTAGTCCAAGTTGCTCGCAGATATCTGAGTGACAGAGAAAATGATCAACAGATGTAATGAGAAATGCTGGTGATGATCTAACTACCATAAAGCTCTCTAAAGCTTGATGGAGACAAAAAGACATATAAACATGTACAGCTACTTATTGCTGCCGGAGTTTTCATAGCGTACACCGGCATATGAAGAAGGATGACTATAACACGCCCGCGTATAGTATGCATCTAAATCATGACTTCCGCAGCCTTTTCGGGATGACCATAGTAATGCAACGTGACATGTGGCATGATCAAGCTCCTCTTTGATTGATGATGACCCAATGTTTCATTTCTTGGAGTACCCGTAGCTGTAGGCTTCGTGCCGACAGGTTGTTGTCCTTTGGCGCCCTGTCCGGCGAGCGACTCATACGTAGCCTGCCTGTATGGTACTGCTGTATCATGTTGCTTATCAGGATAGGCTGTAGATTCAGCTATGATATTGAGTTGATCATAGTGTTTTATCATACATTGCGCCAATTGATAATCAATACCGGTAGTATCAAGCGACCGCTGCTGGGCTGGTATGACTACTATTTCACCACCTAGGGTAACATATATTCGGTAGTCAACACTAGTCCCATCGAGGCACCGTAAGAAGCTCTCTATAGCGGCTTGATTTAGGTCACTTGGTCCCATGATGATTGTGACACCTGCACTACTAGGCACTGCATGTGAAGTGGCCACAAAGCCAACCAACAGAAGGAGCAAAAGGCCGCCGAGAAACTGGCGCATGTTGAAAAGCAAAAAAAATGTATGATCAGAAAAAAGGGTTCTCGTATGATCTGTTGGGATCAAAGTATCGGGGGAGGGTCACTTATATAACTACTTCGGTATATTCCGCATAGCGTTAAGCTCTCAACAAACAGAGAGGGGTTGTCAGCTATCGGAAAGACAATGACGTGGGATCATTCGAAAGTCTGACTCGCATGGGGTGCATCGGGGCTGCTGTGTTTTGCCGACCTAGAATATCCCGCAAAATACTTCACGACGGTGGTCCAGAATGAGCGGTCAGCAATTTATCACCTTCCATTCGATCTGATGTCTCCTCATGGCTCGTAAGATGTGGGTTCTCCAGCCGGTAGTCAAATTGCAAGAAGAACCGTTCAGGTGAATACCGACTCGATTGCAACGCAAAGAAAACCCAGCCTACAATATAAACGGCCTTACGACCAAGACCTACTTAGTATATCACATAGGCTTGCGGGTATAGGGTTCTCCCGAGGGCTTTCTCAAGATTCCACGATATTAGGCAGCGATCAAATGCCCCCAATCCACTCCACCGACTAGTGCTAATAAGGTCGGTAGCGTCGATGAACGACCAATAATGTGAGGACAATCGTGGGTTTTCGGGCGAAATCGCCATTTCAGTTTAACAAGCATCTGGAGAAGGAGATCCTCTTGGCAAAGGGTCAGGTAGCCAGGACTTCAGACTACAGAAATTTCAACGTCGAGTGAAGAGTGCAGCGAAGCAATCATTTCTATATGTAGTACCTGTTTACATGAGCACTTTCCAAGCAGTTATTCATTATATCCTATTACTGTATGTTCTATAATCACGGCGAGGTGGTAAATGACTGAGTACACAAAACAAGGAAGCAAAATGACGATATAGAAAGTGAGCCTTTCTGGTCGACAGAATGTTTTCATGCAGGTCTTGTAAATAACAAGGCGATTATCTTCTGTAAATCCTCACCCGACACTTCTACCTAATCCCAAGCATATCATACGAGAAACCTTCCATTTTCCAATCATACCTTTTTTTCAACATGCGCCAATTTCGCGTCCTTTTGCTCCTTCTGTTGATTGGCTTTGTGGCCGCTACAACGATCATGGTACCATGTGACCTAGATCAAGTCGCTCTGGAGAGTTTCTTACGGTGCCTCGATGGGACTGGTACTGACTACCGACTATATGTTAGCTCAAATGGTGAAATAGTAGTCATACCAGACCAGCAGCGGTGGATTGATACCAGCGGTATTAACTCTCAATTGATACAATATATGATAAAATACTCTGATCAACTCGATATCATGGCTAAATCTACAGCTATCCTGATAAGCAACATGATACAGCAGTACCATATAGGCAGGCTACGTATGACTCGCTCGCTAGACAGGGCGCCAAAGGACAAAAACCTAACAGGAATTCTCTACGTCGCCCGTCAATCAAAGGGGCGCTTGGTCATGCCATGCTGCGTGAAATATCACATTAACACTTTGGTTTTCTCGATATTCAACAAAGGCTGCGGAAATCATGTTTTCCATGCATTCTATACGCACATGTGCCATATTTTTTTCCCTTTATATGCCAGCATGGGTTTCGTAAAATTCATCAATGTTACCCGTCACCCCCTTGAAATAGAGTACCTCGTAAGGTTTGCTAGGGGAAACTATCTAGAAATTGCACTCTCACTGGTTAGCTCTTCAGGACAGAGTAAAATTAGCGATATGCTACAATGGCGGTATTCAACGGGCAGGATCATATCCGAGCCGCACAGGGAATATTAGGTTGGCACCAATATTATATTTGCATATATATCTCAAACAAAAGATCTGTATTAAGCAGCTTTGTGGTTTCTCTCTTTCTCTAAATATACGCAAAGAAATTGTGCGTACAACATAAAGCGTAAATGACCTGAGCTGGTCCAAATGGAGTACAAACAATGCAAACACACTAATTATGCGCATAATTCTGCTGACTTTGCAGATTTATGAATGATTTATGCAAGAGGCGATTACTACTGGTATGATCAAGATTATCTGGGTGGATGAACACGGCCAGAGCGTGTGGGATAATGTTGCCGAATCAAATACTTTAGAGGGTCCCTCTTTAGCTCTGGGGAACTATATGAACTATACCAGTCTGCCAGAGATCGTTACTTTCCGGGCTGTGCGGGGCGCGTTGATTATTAGATAGCAGATTCCTAGATCCAAAACCGAGGGGTTTGGAACACAAATTTTTTTCCTTAATCCTCGATTCTATCTTATATTTCCCATTTACTAGCCAAGAAAAACCCCTACTTCGAAAGCTCAGAGGTCCTCACAAAAAGCGGCAAGGTCTAGGAAACCCAAAGGAGGAAGTCAAGTACATAGGACCACAAATGCTTGGAGCAACTTTTGCTATCGGGCATTTTTGTAAAACGTTTCAATTTACTAATTCTCTCAATATCATTCATCTTGAAAATCTAGCTTGAGCACATACAGGCTAAAAATGCCTACTTGGGTATGGTATATGCCCTCGTAGATCCTTTGACTCAGCTCATAAAAGTCCCAGGACCCTGGAAATATTATGTCTATCTTTAGGGCCTTACACGGCTAGAACATCTCAGATCTGCGTGTGCCATGTGATCAAGCGTGACATCGACGGGACTCGATAACTCGTTTGGGAAACGATATACCGCATCTGTCCAGCACTCAAGGTTGGACAACCTTTTTGTCAACAAGAAACACATTTTTATCAATTCAGATCGATAAAACTACTGAAGCAAAACAAATCGATAGCGACATTTAATTCCGTCTCTTTCGCTGTCCCTGTCGCAGTCCACAACTCTCATCGTGTCTATTTGAAATTTAAATCCACTGGCTAATTTTATCGGCATCATGTCCGAGCTTGTTCGCACTTTACCTGCCTCCTGGTATTGCAGTCAGCCACTGTATCAGATGGAGCGGCGGGCGGTTTTTCTCAAAGTCTGTAACATAGTCTTCTCAGTTCTGGCAGTTGAAGACTAAGATGTGCTCTAGTCCTGGTACTTGCTCGGCCCAGTCACCAGATTCCAGGTTGTGGGCGAGCATGTCCCATACGAGATTGCGCAGCAGCCCATCTCTGGTGTTCGTACTTCAGGGGAGACTCTCAACCCCGTCGATGAGGAGCTGAAGGTTGTCTGCGCGAAAACGGTACGTGTGATCCAGATGAAATGTGAAGCCCCTTCTAAGCACTGTGCTATCTACAGGGCAAAGAACTGCGCAGTCATCTCACCCCCACTGGACTCCTCTTCTCAACTATCTCCGACGATGCTCCTAGTTTCCATGAATTCTTCCCAGAGCTCGAGGAGCTGCTCGGTAAAGTCGACTTCACTAAACTACCGCACCGTCGGAGCATCAACTATGAAGGCCGGTTTAACTGGAAGACCATGTAATATCTTACCTTGCCCTTTTCTACTGTGTTATTATTAACTTTCGTCAGGGTCGACGGATATCAAGAGTGTCTACACTGCCAATACACTCACCCCTCTTTCTCCAAATACTATCCGCCGACCTTCTACACCGTGCGGAACAAGCACAATTTCTCGCAGCATATTGCAGACCCGAACAAGTCAGATGATGGCCTTTTCCTGTACTTCTTTCCCAACTGCACGCTGAATGTCTATGGCGGTGGAATGTCCTGCTTCAGGGTATGTCCGACCGCTGACCCGCAGGTCACCCGGATGGAATTCGATTACTTCCATCTTGAATCTGGAGACAAGTTCGAAGAATACTTCAAATTCGTGCGCCAAGTTGCTATGGAAGACTTTGAGCTTTGCGAGAAGGCCCAGAGCAATCTGGCTAGGGGGTTTATCACGAGGGAATTCTGAACCCAAACAAGGAGAATGGCGTGTCTTGTGAGTTGGAGTTGTGGCTTCTAAAATTAGTTCATGCAATAATGCTAACACACATGTCGCCCTTAGACTACCAGAGACGGGTGTTTGATATGGTCTGCGAGCAGCATGAGTTTGACAGGACTGCCAAGGCAGCGAAAGATTCGGGACTGGAGGAGCATGTTGCGTCGTCGATGGTTCAAATGGCAGCGTAGTATCGCAGGAATATAATGATCGCTATTTTGATGAGATATGAGATATGAATGTGAATGCAACTATATCTTAATGCCTTGCACAGTACTCACCGTATGATAACAATAATCCCAACCATACAGGATCAAATGACAAGTCATCTGAGTGATACAGCCAGGAAATTCCAACCCAATCGGGTAATGGAGGCATCTGCGCTAACTGTGGAGATTGTAATGTGTGGAGGGGTAACATGTAAACCTCCCAGTGACAGTATATCAGTGCATGCCAACCACTTTCTAATATTCAGAATCGCAATCCTTTATTTATCATGGAGTCCACCGATACAGAATACCTAACATCTCTAACCTCCATCCTCGTGGCCGTCGTGACACTTATCTTTCTACTCCACCGAACATGGCCCCATTTATCTCAACCAAAAGCCGATAAAGTCACTGAATCTATTGAAATCTCCCCTCTAGATAACTTAGATTTGGCTGTTTCCAAAGAACCCGAAATCCCAGAAGGATGGTGGAGCGGTCGGGAAGTCTTCGAGCTCGAACGGCGTGCGCTCTTCAGCCAAGTAATAGAAATCCCAGTACGACATCACTGAACAGCTTCGCTAATGCGCATTCTAGACATGGCTCTATATTGCCCATAGCTCCCAGTTCTATAAGCCTGGCTCATATCAATCTTTCGAGATCGCCGGGTTCCCGGTGTTTCTCATTCGCGGTAAGGACGACAAGATCCGCGCGTTTCATAATGTGTGTCGCCATCGTGCGTATACTATTACCAGAAAAGAAACTGGTGCCTCGACTGTTCTTGGTTGTCGTTATCACGGCTGGAGCTATGATACCACTGGTCGGCTGGTGAAGGCTCCTCAGTTTGATGATGTTCCTGGGTTTGAGAAGTCGCAGAATAGTCTGTTTGAGGTTCATACTCATACCACTGATCAGGGGTTGATCTTTGTGAATCTCAATTCTGGTGAGCCGGCTGCATTTGACGGTGTGGCTTCGCGTTTGAGTGGATTGGCTGGTCTAGAAGGGAAATCTACTTGGGTTTCTGGCCTGACTTTGGCGGGAGACTTCAATTGGAAGATTGGAAGTAAGTAATTGATGTCAAGAATTGTTGGAAAAAAATAGCTGACAATTCAATAGCGCGATCTCGTCACCTCGATGCCTATACCAGCGAGCTACATCGTAGAATGTCTGAAATATCGAGGCCATCTCCCGTAATGAAGCTTTTCAGGGCCATTACGGGGAAGAGCACTCGGGAAAGGTCTTTTTTATTCCCGATTACACTTATTTATTCATTTCAGGATGCGGGTTTATGTCTTGCCCTTTCCTTCTTTCCTGCCTCTGAGTCGAAGACGCATATTCGCTACGACCTCTTCGCTCACTGCGCTGTCAATGAACCGGAAATTCAGAAGATAACCGAAGTATTGCAGAGCGTGGTGAAGAATTTAATTGGAGAGATTGAGCTTGAATATCAATCGATCCCCACCAAGCAAGGGTGAGTACTTTAAGCTATTGTCCGACAAGACCTGTTGCTAATTCTTATTTTTAACTAGGTCTTCGGGCGAGTTAAATAACACAGGTATGTATCTTGGATGTGAACTTCCTTTCTATTGTCTAACTTAATTAATCAGACACTCGTCAAATTTTGAGTCGACTCCAGGAGCATACAAAACTCGAACGGATCGAAGGGAGTCAGATCCTCCCAGCCATGCACAAGCCAGAAGGAAGCACTCTATTCCAAAAGGCAGACCAACGTGAGTGTTTTATTTCAAGTTACCTCACTGTTTACTAATTGGCAGCAGTTTGCAAAGAGCTAGACTGTGTTAGCGGTGGATCGCAGAGCGGTGCTTCAAGTGCACTTGACTGGTAGATTTGTCCAAATCTCATCCTTTATTTTGGTAAACCTGTTTATTTAACAATTGGACTGACATCTGGATGGATATTAATTTGAATAAGAGATGTTACGGAATAACTAGACAATGATCTGATTCGATAACTAGTTAATGTGAGACGGACAAACTTAGTAATCAAAAACACACAGGGTCACATGATCAGTCTGTAACAAGCATGAAAATGACGGTATCGATATTGAGTTTTGACAGTACCGGACGATAGGAATTCGAATCAAAACATCAACAACAACGTAAAACTTCAACATAAAGCAACGAAATGAGAAATAACATCATACACAGAAGCGTGTTCCGATGCTTCAACGCCGATCCTACCAGGCTGAGACACAACCTCTCAAATTCGACGATTCGATCCCATCCTACCCACATTCTTAGTGACCATATTGCTAGAATCCCTGATAGGACCAAGAGTCTGTCTGCCGCCACTGCGAGCAGTAACACGACTAGGCCTATTTCTCCTAATAGCATCCGCGAGAGCAGGATCCGACCCATTACCATTCTCCCTCAGCAACACCTCATGTTCCGAAATACTGCTTAGCTGAGGGCTCTTGGGATAGCGTACATTACGGCGGTTGCGCGAGCCATCCCGCGAGCTGCTCCGAAGCAGACGCGTGCCTGTACCGATACTGTGCCTGAGGATACCCAGATCATTATCGCGTATGAATGCATCCAGAGCCAGATGCCATTGACTCCCAGTCCAGTGATTAGACAGACGGCGGACGAGCGCTTGCATCTTGCGCACAGCAAGCAGCTCCATTACGTTCTGCGTGGGGTCGCGGACTCGGCCGTCGGCGAGCTTGCGCTTGTGTGATGCTAGTCCTTCGGCGATCTCGGTGCCGAAGATCTTGCCGTATTCGTTGGTGAATAGCTTATCGGGTAAGTGGGAGATGATGATAGAGAATATCTCGCCGCTGTGGAGGTGTGAGCTTCGAGCTGCGCAGATCAAGGCGTACCCCTGCGCGCCTCCGGTTAATCTGGGCTGCATGGGATCGCATTTCTGGCAGAGCCAATCGATTGACGCTGGCTCGTCGAAGCATGCGGCGTACATTAACGGGTTCATGTTTTCTGAGTTTCGGACCTCGGCGTTGAGCATGGAGAATTTTTCGAGCCAGGCCATGAACTCAGCTCCGGCGGGGTTGAAGGCTGCGGCGATGTGCCAGGAGGATTCTAGCTGTCCGCCGAGTTCGTGGTACTGGTGCTCGACGTTGCCGATGTTGATTCCGTGTTGGTAGAGTGCTTCTGCCACGGCGACGGGTGCGACAGCGCAGAACTCATGCATCGCTGCTTCGTGGAAGATTTTGCGAAGTTCGTCGATTGGCAAAAGTTTTGCCTGGCGTAGCCTATTCAGGGCAATCACGAATTGAGAAAATGCGCCGACACCGACGAGTGAGAGAAGGATGTGGTTCTCGCGGGTTTCTCGGATATCTCTGGGTTTGGTCAGATGTTGAGGATCTGCATTGCTGACAAGGTAGGTGAGCAGATCCATATTAGGACTATTCAGTCCTGCCTCGATCCAGCTTCTTCCTGATAAGTCATAGCCATTGGGCGTGACGATCCCGAAATAAACCAGGAACTCCAAGCAGGAAGAGCATTGCATTGCGGCATTGTATGCAGGGTGGGTCTTGAATGGATGATTGTCGGTTTCTCTTGGGAACGTAGTGCAATCCGACAAGTGTCCCATTGCATCTTCGTAACTCTTGTAAGACCGGATCAAATCCCTCCATTTTTCGACGGTCCCCGGCCGTCTGAACCATTTTTCCACACTCGCTTTGAGTGGTCCGTTGTGTTTTAGAAGTCCATGCATAGCGTGGATCTTCTTTTCTTCCATATATCGAACCCCCACTGAGAAACCAACCATTTTGTCAAATATGATATCGAGTGCCTTTTGAGGGAGATGGGCGAGAGGCAACTTGGTGGCCCATTGGATTTGCTGGGCTGCTGTTTTCCTGTCGACGTTGCTTGGCCAGGCAACCTGAAGCGTACCACCTTTGACATTTCCACTTTGCAACCGGTCGAAGATGACCCCCCAAACTGCTGGACCCCAAGAGTCCAGCACTTCTTCGTCGAAGCCAACCATGATAAAGTAATAGGGTTTATTGTAGATTTTATGAGGTCGTGAAGCCGTTGACACACAGCTAGTTTATATCTTTTTCATCTTTCCAACCCTTAATAATGTTAGTATGTGACAATCCTCTGCATTTTTCTTTGATCACAGGAAGCAAAGAGGATAAATATAGATTCAGGCGTAGTTATTGGATAAGGAGCAACATGAATCCTTCCTAAAAGGGTAGGCGAGGATGGTTCTAAGAGCACAAATGAACAAAGAGTCGAAGAACTAACTTGTTCTAGTTGATCAAAAAGAGTCGAGGACTCGACGAGGAAGAGGTGGCTTAGTGCCGTAGAACAAAGAGGTTCTTTTATGGCCCAGAAATTGCAAGATTTTGTGGTTTTTAGATGCAAATTGAAGTGAATTGTTTTCTGTTTTGCTTCTTACATATGGGAGAGGTCTACCTAGCTGCCCATAATCTCTGGTCTTAGTTTTACTTGCTCAAGCACTGCAATGTGTGTACCAGATACTAAATTGTATAAAGAAGATTCGTATGGAATTTGATAGCAATTTGCCTCTAAGTTCGACAAAGAAGGACAAAAAATACTATTGCAGAGACCTGCAGATGAAATATTACCTTTAGAGATAAATGAATAGCTGTATAGACTCTTGAGACGAAAAATGTTCGTATAAGAGACATGAGACATCAAGATACAAGTCAGCACTAAAAGCAGCCCCTCCTGTGCTATTATTAGTAGTGTCATGGCAAATCTTCCATGTTCTCGTATTTCACATCTAATTCTTCTACACTTCTAGACTTCTCGTTCCTGAAATGCTTATCCCTGAATATATTTAGCAACACCCCGCTCGCGAAACAATCAACATTCGTGGCTTAGTCCTACCACTCTGGGGTATCATGTTTGAAAGAGACAAATCTGGCAAAGCCTTAGGTTAACGCACTGGGCAAGATCGCCGAGTAGCTTGCCTAGATAGTCCAAACAAGGTCAAAGCGGGCGAGATTACGAGGATCTCTACGGAGTATCTTGGCCCAC